TTGAATCAAATGCAAAACTAACCTCTTTGGGTAGTAAAATTACCCCACAAGCCCTCATGACCAAACAAAAAAACGCATGCCTCGATTACGATTATAACCTCCGGAGCAAGTAGATCTATCCCGTAGATCTACCTGTAGACAATGTTAGAGGTCTACCTCGTAAGAACATCTTAAATTTTAATTAACAATTAAATAAAAAATATTTTTATACAAACACAAGTATGAATAATCCTAATATAGATATTATCATATACAAAAAATATGAATGCACACAAATGAATGATTTATAGATAAGCAAAGACAAATGAATGATTTATATAAAAATGTGTGAGGTCTACCGAGTAAGTCTACTATATCATTAAACTTAGATTTTTATTATAAAAATTTAATAGTAAATATTTTGATGGAAATTATTTATACATAATTACAATACAGACAACTTGCATCTATCTAAAATATAATTTCATAGATTTGAACCAACTGAACTATGAAAAAAAACAAATTAGGTTAAAAGCCTATAAAACCATGAGAGGTCTACCAAGTAAGTCTACTAAATAATCAAATCTTAAATTTAAATTAAAAAAAAATTTAAAAAATAATTTGAAATATTTGATTCACAAATAACGAAATAATAGACATTTAACATATATTAAAAATAAAATTTCATAAAAAATCATGAATCTATAAATATCATATGTAAATAGTTCATAAGGATAAGAGTTTGAGTAGATTGTTTAGGGTTGAATGGAGAAAGTTGTAGGGTTTTGAAAAAAATTAGATGAAGAATTGTTTTGGTTGGTTTTACGATTCAATGTTTGTTTATTTGTGATATACACTGTAAATTTACAATATGGCAAGCAAATAGTTGCAAAATTGTATCTAAATGATTCGATTTAGGGTTTAGGGTAAAGTAGATCTAACAAGTAGACGGATCGAGTAGACCGAAGTGGAGGTCTACCAACCGTTTTAACCTAGCGGGAATCCCGAAATTTACAATTCAAGTAGACCGAATTGGTAGACCTCAACATAAATTTAATTAAACCGGAATTTTCTGCTGAAACCGGAAAATTTATCCCTTGTATAAAAGTAAAAAAACCCTAATTTTGTTAAAAAAACTGTAAAATATCTCGGCTCTCTCTTTTTCTCTCTCGCCGCGCTCTCTCTCTCTCCCGCCGCCCTCGCCATCTTCTTCTTCTTCTTCCTCCTTATCTGATACCAAATCAGATCTGAAGCTTTTCTGTGATAGATGGAGGTTCTGTTTTCTCAGACCTACTCTGAAATCCTCTAGATCTAAAGTTTCGCTTCTCTTTTTCACTTGCCTCTCCGCCATCTCGTCTTCTCTTTTCTCTCTCTCTGCTGCTCACTATTCCTCGCATCTTCCCTCCCACCTTGGATCTCTCACGCTGCGAGGTTAATCTCTCAGATTCAGTGTTTGAAATAACAGTTGCTTTGCTCAGATCCTGTATGAATCGTTCGTAGTATGTGCAGCTCTATCTCTCTAATGTTCTTCTAATCTGTCTGCATCTGTCTCTGTTTCAGCCTGATTTGTCTTATCGAGCTCCAGGTCTGAAGACCAAGAAGTCGGCATCAGTTCTTCATTCCTCCCAAAATTCAGGCTCTAAGAGGTGATGATTCTCAATTCTCTCTCTCTCTCTCTTTCCAATATGTCATTATGATAGGTTCTCTTCTTTTTCTGTGTTTTTCTGCATCTATGGTTTATGGTGATTTGGTTTTTTATCTTGTCGGATTAGTGACGAGATCGACAATGATCAGAAACTGTAAGACCTTACTCTCCTGTTTCACCTTCCTTCTTTTTTTTAGCTATCGTAAAAAATATTGCTCCTGTGATTGATGTTTGTCGATGCTAGCTTCAAAAATTCTAAGTCTACTAGTCCCAAATTTGCCTTTATTAGCTAAAAACGCTTTTGGATCTTCTTCAAATGTTCAATGCAAAAATTGAGTTACATTTCGGATTCTAGTTAAGTTTTGTGGTCTTATGGGTATAGATCTTTATTGAGCTTTGATATCTGTCTTTTCTTCTAGATTTATTCAAAAAGCTTGCTATTTTGTGTTTGTTTGATTTCCTTTGATTTTTACATTAATACAAAAGGTGTAAAGACAACAAGCTTGTTATAACTGCAGAAAGGTGAGCCTCCTTGTATAAGCTATGATAAAACAGTAGCTAAAGTAGAATTTTAGATTGGTAAATAACATTTTCGCATTAATGTTGAATAAGTAGTCTCTTATTCATGCTTATTGTGAAGACCTAAGCTTAGCTCTAATCACAAATATCCATATTTCGAGCTTGAATCATTTGGAAGCATTGTTTGAAGTAGTTCTGATTCATCATTGCTTTTTGTCCTGTCTATTGGAAAGGCTTGTGCTTGTGGGACTAATGTAGGTGTTTGGTTTATACTGCAGCTTCCTAGCATTGCTGTTGAACGTGGAAGTGCAAGCATTGTTTATCAAATTGCAGAAAAATGGAATTTATATTCCAAAGGAGAGGTATGCTCAAGAAGAAGCTGAGAAAAAGGTGCATTTTTCTCTTTTGTTTTATAATGAATCTCAAGATCTTGAACTCTTGCGGTTTTCCTCTTATGTAGAGAGACTTGTTTCATTTCCTCTCGGAGAACTTGCTAACGTTTTTGTTTTACTGATTGAAATTTTGTTAGGCGTCTAAAGATAAGAAGAGCTTGGATGTTGGTGCCAACCTCTTCATTGGAAACCAAGCCCTTCATTGGAAACCAATATGCATGCAAGATTACACAGAAGCTGCCACAGTTGTGTTTCTATTCTGCGTTGCAGATGGAAGCTTTGCTAAAGCCAAGCCCTTTTCTTAGTTTAAGTACTTTTCGTTTTAAGTTTAAACACTTGTTGCTTTCGAATTTGAGTTTTTTAGATTGTAAGACTTTGCATTTGCACTTCTAGTTATTGTGTGTTATTTCAACAAGTTCATGAATACTCGAAAATAATACCTCAGGTGTAGACCTCTAATATAGATCTCCAATTAATACAAGGTAGACCGATTCTTATGTCTATCTTTGCGAGGTAGACCGATTCTTGATTTTGCGATATGTGTATATTTGCAAACATGTGAACAAGAGATTTTCTCAACTAGGAATACACCACATTCACATGAACGGTTTTCCAAATTACTAAGGTGAAGTGCATCTATATTCAAAGTTCAAATTACTAAGGTCACATGAATACTACACATCTCATTATCACCAAATTTCCAGCCTTAAAGAAAAAAACAAAAATTATAACAGATTAGTAGACAGAACGGTTTTTCATCATCATCCATAAACAGAAGCTAGACAAACCATTATCTGCAACAAAAATAAACCAGACCACAAAATGGATAGTAGACAGAAGGCGTAGACCGACAGGGTAGACCCACAATTTGGTCTACCAGAAAATTAAGCTAGATACCTAATTCAAAAGAAAACCGAATATAGCCTTAATTACGCCGAAAGAACATTTCAAACTCACACAGAAGCAAGTAAACAAATAAAAACAACTAATTGTTCGAGAAATTTCAAAATATTTGATATATTGAAAGGAAAACGACATTTAAAAAACACATAATAATAGACCTAAAACGTAGACGTTCAGAGTAGACGTACACGGTAGACCTCCACTTAGGTCTACTCCACGTGGAGGGTTAGTTTTGCAATTGATCGAGAAAAATGTTTTTTTGGAGGTCTACCTTGTCGGTCTACTACACGTGGAGGGTTAGTTTTGCAATTGACCAAACATTGACTTTTTCACAAGGTCTACCGTGTAAGTCTACCAGAAAACGTAGACCTCTCAATCGGTCTACCAAAAAAAGTAGACCTCTGAATTAGTCTACCCCTTAGGTCTACCTACCGAAAACAGTTTGTTTTGCCGTTGACTCAAGTTTGACTTTCCTTTGGGTAGACTTCCGTGGTAGACCTCAGTTTTTTGCGTTGACCAGTAGACCTCCTTGCGGTCTACCGGATGGTAGACCTACACGGTAGACCTCAATGACGCAAAATCTCTCCTTTTTGAGGAAAGTCAAACTTGAGTCAACGGCAAAACCAACTTTTTTTTTTAGGTAGACCTAAGAGGTAGACCTCCGAAAAAATTTCTCTATCAATTGCAAAACTAACCCTCCACGTGGAGTAGACCGACAAGGTAGACCTCAAAAAAAACATTTTTCTCAATCAATTGCAAAACTAACCCTCCACGTGGAGTAGACCTAAGTGTAGGTCTACCACTCATTTTTTTTGTTTGCAAAGGAAATGGCACAGTCAACTCTGCGTTGACCAGTAGACCTAAACTGAGGTCTACTATGTAATGGTAGACCTACACTTCAGTCTACCTTAACGGACCAAAACTGAAATTCTTAGAATTTTGAAAGAAAAGTTACTGGCCGTTGGAAAAGGCTCTTCAAGGGCTGATAACTTCAATTTAGGCTTCAATTACGAGTTCCAGTCATCACCATAAGCTAAACAATTGGAAATACCAAGACCCAAGATTTGAGTTTTCTTTTAAGTTTTGGGATGAAAATGGAGAGAAAATGAAAGAATAAGAGTTTGTGAGATGAAAGAAGGAGAAATACTAGCTCCAAAGTGAGTTTTCGGAGCATTAACAGCTCCAAATTGGGTAAAAATGGTGGTTGTCAACATTGATGAAATGACATTTTGGCAATTAAGTGTAGAAGATGAGGGGTGTTTGGTCTTTCAGCAGATCTGGTAGACCTAAATATCGGTCTACCAATCGAAAAAGTAATGGCATTTCGTAATTAATTGGAAAAAACTGGACAAACTTAAAATGAAAAAAACAGGAGGTTACTTTTGCATTTGACCACAATTTTGGGTCTAGAAGTGAAACAACCCCTGCAAACAATGTCTAAAATGTGTTATTTTGATTGTTTAGTTTAATAATGAAAACTTATGTGTCCCCATAGTCGTAAAAGAATCTGTTTGTGTAGTACTTACTCCCAGAATCTCTTTGTGTAACACGTGTCCAGGCTCATGAGCTCTCCGTCCTTTTTGAAGTTTCTCGCTTCCCACATTCTCAGCAGCCGAACGGTGATGTTTTGCATTGTTGGTTCAAGGGCTAGGTCGGCGATCGGAATCTGCTTGGGCAGGGCAACCGAGGGAGCAGATCATGGTGGCAGCTACGATCTGAGTAAAACTACGACATACGTTATAACGTTAAGCAGCTATGGAAGGCAAAAGTATATATAAGTGTTCTGTAATTGTAATAGCAGCGTCTCATACAGGGTGTGAGCGTAATATTGATGACATTTAGTGCGTAGCATTTAAGTTTGTGAGAGGGAAGTCGAAAAGATAGTGTATGTTATGAATCGGTTTTTGAAATTGTAAAGAGAATGATGGAGACAAGTTAATATTGGTTACCTGGTTTTTAATAGAGAAAGCCGTTATGGTGTAACGCCTGAGCTGAGGACGGATAGCACTGTAATTCGACAGATTGAAATGGGGTCGATTCATCAGCCGGAAACTCTCATGTCCCGCAGGCGAAGGCTGAGATTGCGACCCGAACACTTAATCAATTTATGAAGAACAATCGGTAGTAAAAGTTGAGATCTAAGGCCGATGTGGAAGAATTAGAGAACAATAGTACCCGTAGACACGACTGAAGGCAGTTGTATGATGGCAGAAGCATAAGAATGGAAGGAAAGACGCGAAGTTGGAAGAACTGGTTGATACCCAAACGGCCAAACCCTAAGATCCACGCGGTCGTCTGCGGCGGGGCGAGGAAGAAAGCACGGTCGAAGTCCCTGGGGCACTCTGACTGGAGGCCGTATCGGTCTGAAATGAAGAGAATCTCCACCGGTGAAGAGAAGAAACCAATCTCCGGCCGACGCTCAAACAACCAACCTTTTGTTTGACTGAGCGAGGCTGCGATACGGCGGAAAAAGTACTCTCCAAACCCTAATTCGACGATGATGGTCAGGGAAGCTGCGAAGAAGGCTTAGGGATTACATCTCGCCAATCCACACTGTGGTCTGTTGGTGCGCGAGTCTCCGATGGACGGAGAGACTGGAGGTTATTGATTTCGCGAGGCTCCGATGGACAGAGAGACCGGAGACGGTGTGGCGGTATTAGGTGAGTGAGAGAAAGTCGAATGAGGCAATTTTTGAGTATTTGGGGTTATTCTGTAATTGAAACTAATTTCGAAGGACTGAGTGCAAAATATTTTCTCTGTTTTTTTTTTTTTAAAGGGTGCGCCATGTGGCGGATGCTAGAGAGAAGTTATCCTCTCATTATATATAAGATTTTAAGATATCTTTTTATATAAGTATCATTCTAGAAATATAGCGTGTTAAACAATAAAAAAAATAGGTCAGTTTACATTAGACAAAATTTTGAGTGATGCATATTTTTTTAGACTGAATTGGAAGTGACGAAATATTTAGTGACACAGTTGAATCCACATATCTATCTTTTAATAAGTTTCAAATAGTTTTATATGGCATATATATTTAATATTTTTGATCAATTTTAAATAACTAAAATAATTTAACTTATATATTAAGTTATTAGATTTTATTATGATTTATTTATTTAATTCAATTAAAGAACAAAATTAAATCAATTAAAAAAACTTTAAAGTTTGGAAACCTAATAAATCAGTTTTTTTTTTACTTATGGTTGATCATTGTTTGGATCCTTTTTATAAGAGATTTTTGAACTATCATCCCAAAATATAATCGATGTGGGACTTTTAACAATTTTAGAGATTTGCTTCATTTTAAAAATTTCAAATCATAGCATATGCAGAAAAAAATTAATTTTGTTTTATGAAATACTAGTATTTGGCCCATGTTATGCATGGACATGGACCTTTATTCTTGTAATTTTTTTTATTACGCTAATCATTTGATTTTGTAACAAATAATTTTCTGAATAATAGATAAAATTAATCTTCTTTTAGTGACATACAATATTTCTATTAACAATGGAACTATAGCTATAAAAGTTGCTGTGTGATTCTGTTTTTAAAATTTTTGTAAACTGAAACAAATAGCTAGAATGCAAGATAAACAAACTCTTTATACATGAAAAACGCATAAACTATCCTCAAACGCATAAACACAAAAACCAAAAAAGGTCACGACTAAAAAATATATCCTTTAACCTCAACAAAGATAGATCCTTTCCCTCCATACAAATGTAACTGCAGATGCAAGAGAGGACGATGAGAATATGAGTAGCCATGTGATGATCCATCGAAACTCCGAAATCAAATGAATTGTCAAAGGCTTCATTTCTATTAAAATACGTTTCTGTATTTATTTACTATACAATTACGATCAACTTAAGTTATCAATCAAGATCTCCGTACACAAATAGAAATAGGAACTTGCAGCCAAACAACCATCTTTACCAAACCCAAACCAGCATATTTCAATAAAGCTTCTCAATTCTACACCTATCAAACTAAACCAACCAGTATACCACCAAAGACACAACATAACACATTCTACTCAATCTATTGAATGACAAATTCTAGTTCTTATTCTATCCAAGATTGAATAACAGAAACATTACCGTAGAGGAAGAGATGAAGCCAAGATGGTAGACCTCTGTTTAAACCTGACCCTTGTCTGAAATCAGCTTTTGTCGCATAAATCAACCTGAACGAAACTTATGCTCCTCTGCTACTCTTGTTTTGACTTCAAAATCACGGACATATCGGAAAGGCAAAGACTGACTGGTCGTTGAAGGATCTACTGTACAAATGCGTCTTGAAGATCAATGCATTTGGAGACACAACTCTATCCATATTCTTTCTCCATTCTTTCTAACAAAACCCCCTTTCGAAAACGCTTCCATTTTACTACTCAATTTATCTATCTGCAGCAAATGACATCAAAAATCAAGATCATGCACAAGTCAAGAAAATCATGCAATTTTACAGCGGATTGTTTGTCACTTACATTGTCATTGTTGCTCCTAAGAACATGTTGATCAGCTAGAGTGTTATTTGGGTTGACCAAGAGGCTAGCTTCAGCCATTTTCCGAATCCCTTTCACACTATCCTCCTCGGAAACTACACCCTCGAATTTCTAAAGCTCTCTTCTCAAAACAGAAGCTTTCTTGACAAAATTATGTCTGTTGTTTCTAGCTTCAGTGTCATTAATCTTTGGAGACTTTAACTCATTCAGTTTCTCAATCAAAGAGCTTATCTCATCTTCCAAAACCTTGTTTTCTTTCTTCCCTACTGAGATTCTCTGTTTCCCTGAAATAAAACAACCAACATAGACCAACAGCTTCAAAACTCAAAAACATTCACATTCACATTCACAAAACCAACCAAATGGACAAAAAAAAAAAAGATTTTTGACTTACAAAGAGAAGAGTAAGAACAGCAGCAGATCAAAGCGTCTTCTCCATTCGTTTCTTCTTCCTCTCCATCTTCTTCATAGCAATCTCTTTCCTATTCTCAACAAATTTCACTCTGATCTCATGGTTTTCGTCCGTTCGCCGCAGGCTTCTTCTCGCTGGCAGGCGCCGTCACCACGTGTTGATTTCCTTCAATCTCAGAACCAAAATAGCACCAAACATTCAAGGATTAGAATTAAAAGCTATTACAATATTTCATTTTGAGATTGAAGCAAGGTTATCAATAACAGAGAAGGAAAAAAAACCCAGAAATAAAAAACATACATATGGGTTTCTCGCTTTTGGAAAATGAAGAAAGTGCTAAAGAGGGAAAAGCTCAAGCACAAAGAAATTACACAAAGAAATTTCTGATTCAGAACATGCAACTATTCCAGCAAATCAACTCCAAATCAACCAACAAATCAACTCCAAATCAACTTGAGAAAAAGTTATGAATATGAAATTTTGATGAGAAAGATAGAAACCTGATTGCTGAAGAAGATTGTGGATTAAGGATAAGAAAATTGGGGTTTCTGAAGGAAATTGAAGGTTTTCGGAAGGAGATGCAGTTTCAGAAATTGAAGTTGAAAATTAAAAGAGAAGATGATATTAGTTTCAGATTAATCAAAAAGTGAAAGAGATCGTGGGATTGAAATGACAGTTGAAAGTAAACTGCAACAAAGGAGATCGTGGTTTCGGAATTGTAAAGAAAAGAAAAAGAAAAAACTAATAAACCCAGAAAAAAAAATTACAAAAGATATTTGGAAAGACACATGTCAATTAGGTAGGCCATTAGGTGACTTCTGTTTTATTGGTATTAGATTCTGATGTAATGATATAATTTATTTTTGAAAAAGTAAAATTAAACAAAAATGATAGGATAATAATAGAATTGAATAAAACTTTCTACATTTTACTAATTGATTGACTAATAAATACGTTTAAATTTATTTATAATTTTCGTCACTACGAGATAAGGAAATATAAAGAAGATAGTTATAATTAATAAATATTTTTCGGATTAAATTAATAATAAATATTTCAGCACTTGCCTAATAAAGAGAGAATTATTTTTAGAAGATCCTGAGAGTGTGGTAAATACTGACACCTCAGCATGGCAGAATTGAAATTAACTCATGGATAGATGTTATTTTTCTAAAAGTCTTCTCTTTTAATATATAAGAGATAGAACTATAGGATAGAATGACAGCAAAATGGAGAGTGGAGACAAGCTCGCTTGAGTCATTGAGATCATTACGGCAATGCTGATAGATCGAGAGGTAGTCACTTAGCCAGGTGACTTAAAAAGCCAATCTTCATCTTCAAAAAGAAGGTAAAGCACTGAACCAAATCCCAATCCGTGGAGGGAAAAAGGTAAGAATCTCTCCCAATGAAAGGAATTGAAAGTTAACAATCTCTCTTTAATAAATATAGACTGGAATTCAGTACTATAGACGAAAGCAACAATCAATAAAGCACAAGAAAGGTTACAAGGGCAAAGCCCATAAATAATACAAGGGCCAAACTATCAATAAAGCACAAGAAAGGTTACAAGGGCAAAGCCCATAAATAATACAAGGGCCAAACTCATGAAGCGTACAAGGGTCAGGCTCAGGAAAATTTCAAGACTCAGGCCCAAGAAGATTATAAAGGGCCAACCCAGGACATGAGAGGATACCTCTAAACCTAGCAAGCCAACTAAGCCACGTGGCCCACAACAAAGATTTACCGACCGCCAATCTCAGGGAAGCGCCGCTGGAGAAGGTTCCAAATGCAGTAGCGAGGAAGGATAGAGCATCGTCGAGCATACATATAGATTTGTCGGATTCCGGCGGATACAGGTTGAAGAACACATCATATGTGAGGAAGTTTGATAGGAGTACGGTGTGATCGAGATGAACTCGACTTGGGAGAGTGAGGGAAATAGACGGCAGAGGAAGGTGGAGGACACATAGGTTAAGCCTGAGAATTAGCCCCAGGCATATATCCGGGATCCATGATTTAATCCGCTCCAAAAATTCGGGTATCCAGATCCGGATTCGGATAACAAAATTACGAATCCAAAGGATCTGAATCCGGGTAATGTTTTTCTTCTTTCACCGATATCCGATCCGACCCGATTATATGGGCTTTACTGTTTTTTAAATATATTATGGCCCATAAGCCATAACTGGTCCTATGGTCCATACGTAAAAATAGAGAAGACGAAAAGTTTAATTAAATATAATAATACAAGAAGATGAAAAGTCCATATCTTCTGATTCTTCTTTAGTTCTCTGGTTTTGTTTGAATACAATTTCAGAAATCAGTCGTTTGGTTGGCCTTTAAACTTACTTTCACCCTATATTTTTATGAGATCCTTTCTGGTTTTCTTGATGTTTCGGCACATCTCATAGTACAATCGGTGTCTTGTCTCGCTGCATCTGCTTCTCATTTCTACGCTAAGTATTCTTCTCGTCTCTTTTGCTTATACTTCATGTATTATTTCATATATATATTTGGATTTTTCACATGTTTTCCAAAAAAAAAGTATATTTGGATATTGTGTTGAACCGAACGAACTCATATGCTTGATTGATTGTTTGGTTTATGATCGCGGGATCAGGTCTTCCCTTTTCCTATCCCTGATTCTGCAAGTGCACAGGTCAGAAGTAGTAAACGGGTATCGAACACGAGGACCAGATTGCACACTACAAACTATGAGATTGAGATCGAGCTAGGGCAAACAGTATGAATTGGTTGAGTGCAGTGAAAGTAAAGTGAAGCATGCAAGTAAGTAAAGAGATTGAAATCAATAGGAGAGAAGGGCTAAGCAATAGGATAGTCTTAAGATAAGCAATTCAAGAAGCAAGATCGATCGATTAGGGTTATTGATAATCTAGGAAACACTATGGTATGATCTTTCCACTTTCGTGGCTCCGACCCCTTTGTTAATCTACCTAGTCGCTAAACTTTTGGTATGTCCCTAGGTGATTAAATCAAGCATTAGTTCGGTTCAATTGTTCACAACCTACAAGTAAATCAACTTTCGCAGTCTAAAAGAGGTTGCCCACCAAATACTAGTTCAGGCGAATGATTCAGCACTTTCGAGGCTCAAATCAACCTTTAATCATATGCTAATTGGCCAGATTAACAACAAGCATTAAGCATAAGCAAAGAGGTGAAGATTATAAGTAAAACCCTAATTCATGATCGATCATCAAGCAATCATGAATGCTATCCTTTGACTTCCTATCACTTAACAAGTAAACTACTCAGACATAGAGAAGGAAAACGAATTCATATTCATAAGAACAGAGATCCGAATCCTCTCTTGAAAGAGAACAAGCAAGAACAAAGTAAAAGCAAGTAAAACTTTATTAAATGATGTAAAGTAAATCGTGGTCTCTCTCCTTCTTGAGTTACAAGGCTAAAAAGATGTATTTATATTGCTCTAAGTATTGCAGCGCGGCTAGACCTTAGGTCTAATAAGTCGGTTGTGTAATTGGGCTTGAAACGTGTGAAACGGGCTTCAAAAACGGCTTCGGGTCGACCGGACCGTTCAGACAGTCAGTCGGGACGTTCGGCCGGCTATCGGGTTGTGATCGGCCATCGGTACGATCAGGTCGATCGTGGCCGAGGGATTCTGCGTTCGTTCGTCGGGTTCGGCCGGACGGATGATATTTGGTCGAAGACTTCGGCCGGACGTGGGACGAGGCCTTCCTGGTCGGACGGTGTGATCGTGCGTCGTGTTGCACGGTCATGAGCGATGCCTTCCTGCTCGCGCGGTGCGGTCGTGCGCGGCTTACGGTCATGAGACTTCGGATGGTCGACCGCGGGTCATTGACTCCCGGATCATCGTGGGACGGATGTTCCTCGGTCGGCCGTTCCGCACGGTCTGGACGCTATTTCTCAGTTTGAGCCGTCTGGACCAGTCTTCACTAAATTGATGATAACTACTTTTCTACTCATCCAAATGATGCGAATCCAATTGCGTTGGAAAGTTAACTCACTCATGACACGCAGGGAACCGGTCTTGATGAAATCCATTGAGTATATTATTTTTAGCTCCTCCCAAAGTAGATGTTGTGGCAGTGGACTGGTTTGAAGTCCAAATCCTCTGTTTTGCTCCATAATGCACCTTTTGACCTAAAATGACTCTTTGCACTATAAATCCATAAAAACTACCTTTTAAGACAAGAATCCACTAGAAAACCATTAGAAAACCATAGTAAAACAGTATAAAAAGCATGTAAAATAGAGGTATATCAGTTTATTAAAAGTTTGGTGCTTTACTATCATGTAAACTATGTTTTGAAAATACTGTATAAAGTTTCAATTTTGTTTTTTAAGTCTTAGATGGTATCTACAAAATCCACCGCCAACTTGTTAAGTGAATGCTATATAGATTCCGATAACAAAGTTACAAAGCTGATCGGGAAGGTATCTCTCCTCCACCAAGCGACTTATCTCTCTTGATCCGAAGAACAGATTCTCCGATCAATCTCACTCTCTCTCTAAGTTGTTATTCAATTTCTGGATAATGTTGTAAAGTAAATGATACAAGTATTTAAAAGACTCAGCTTCCTTCTTCTAATCCTCTCGCTCAATAAGAGACTCGTCATTTCCGGTAATTGCTACACCGGTCTTCTTCCTCCTCCTTACAAACCGGTTAAGCAATCAAACATTACCCCCCTCGTCAAGACGAAGCTTGTCCTCAAGTTCAGGAAACTCTTGAAGCAGTTCCGATGCACGAACCCACGTCGTCTCATGTGCAGGAAGGCCTTTCCACTGAACCAGAGCCTCCAAACGCCCTCCAGTATCATAACGAGTCTCCAAAACTTCTTCCGGCTCAACAAACAACTCAGACCGCTGGGCAAAAGAATCGGGAAGTGGTGATATCTGATGACCAGAGCCTAATACCGGCTTCAACTGAGAAACGTGGAACACGTTATGAATCTTTGATCCCTCCGGCAACCTCAAACGATACGCCACCTGTCCGATGCGTTCCAAAACCTCAAACGGACAATAGAAACGGGCAGCTAACCTCTGATACAACCTCTTTGACACCGACTGTTGTCTATAAGGGCGCAACTTCAAGAAGACCTTATCTCCAATGGAAAAGGAAAGCTCTCTTCTATGCTTATCAGCATTATTCTTCATCCGAGCCTGAGCCATCTCCAAATGCTCCTTGATTGCTCGCAAAACTTCATCACGTTCACGCAACATTTGTTCCAACTCAAAGTTTGCCGTTGAGCCTTCCTCAAAACGCAACAAACTAGGTGCTTCTCGACCGTAGACTACGTGAAATGGGGTGGAGCCGATGGCGGTGTGAAAGTTGGTGTTATACCATAGCTCTGCCCAAGACAAGTACGTAGCCCACGATTTAGGGTGCGAAGAAGCGAAACAACGAAGGTAGGTCTCCAAACAACGGTTGAGAACTTCCGTTTGACCATCCGACTGGGGATGAAAAGCTGTGCTAAATTTCAACTTCGTCCCTGCCAGCTTGAACAATTCCTTCCAGAAGGAGCTTAGAAAAATTCGATCACGGTCCGACACAATCGACGCTGGAAAGCCGTGCAAGCGAACCATCTCCTGTATAAACTTGTTAGCGACGTCGCAAGCCGTAAACGGATGTTTAAGCTTCACAAAATGTGCAAACTTGCTCAGACGGTCGACCACAACAAAGATTACATTCACACCCTTAGAAGTAGGCAATCCTTCGATGAAATCCATTGACAGATCCTCCCAAATCTTGTTCGGAATCGGTAACGGTTGGAGAAGACCCGCAGGAGAAAGGGTCGAATATTTGTGTCGCTGGCAAGTATCACATTCAGTGACATACTTCCTAATGTCCGATATCATCTTCCTCCAGTAGAAAACAGTCTGAATCCGCTTCACTGTTTTCAGAATGCCTGAGTGACCACCCTCTACACTTGTGTGAAACTCATGCAGAATCAAGGGGATCTTTGAAGAAGTACGTGGAATTACTAACTTCCCCTTGCGAAACAATCGTCCATTCACCACTGTATAGTCCTCGTTGTCTTCCAAACCCTCCAAAACTCTCTTAATGCGGTTCTGAATCTTGCCATCATCCTCAATCTCTTTATAGATGTCTTGGATTTGGAGATTTGCAGGAACAGTGATCGACATCAACTCCATAGCGTTTACACTGATTGGTGCAGGAACAATTCTCGACAACCCATCTGCTGCCTTGTTCTCCACTCCGGGTTTGAAGATAATGTCAAAATCATACCCCAACAGTTTAGTCAACCACCTCTGATAATCCATCGAAACCTCTCTTTGTTCCAGCAGAAATTTCAGGCTCTTCTGATCCGTGTGTACCACAAATTTCCTTCCCAACAAGTAGTGCCTCCATTTTTGTATAGCCAAAACAATTGCCATTAGCTCGCGCTCGTAGATCGGTTTGACTTGATCCCTTGCAGATAAACCTGAGCTGAAGTATGCAATAGGTCTTTGGTTTTGCATCAAAACTGCTCCCAAGCCATAGTCGGATGCATCAGACTCGACTACAAAGACCTCGGAAAAATCAGGTAAGGCCAAAACCGGTGCTGACATCATTGCTTCTTTCAGTTTTTCAAACGCCATTTGTGCACCGTCACCCCAATCAAACTGATCCTTCTTTAGTAGATCTGTTAAAGGTCGTGCAATAGTACCATAACCTTTAACAAATTTTCTGTAATACCCCGTTAGACCCAGAAATCCTCTCAGTTCTTTCACCGTCTTTGGAACGGGCCAATTCTTCATTGCTTCTGTCTTTGAAGGATCCGTGGCCACACACCTTCTTCAGAGATAATATGCCCGAGATACTCAACTTGTGATTGCCCAAACAAACACTTCTTCCGATTCGCAAACAACTGATGAGTGACAAAAATGTCTGGTACCGTAGCGAGATGAGTCACATGTTCCTCGATGTTCGCGCTGAAAACCAATATATCATCGAAGAACACCAGAACGAAATCTCCCAGAAAAGGTCTCAACAGTTCATTCATGAGTGCCTGGAAAGTCGCTGGTGCGTTTGTTAACCCAAACGGCATCACGAGGAACTCATAATGTCCATTCGTCGTTCTGAAAGCCGTCTTCTCAATGTCTCTCTCTAGCATGCGTATTTGGTGATATCCTGCTCTGAGATCCAACTTTGAGAAAACTCTTGCTCCATGTAACTCGTCCAGTAATTGATCGATTACAGGTATCGGAAATTTGTCAGGAACTGTGGCTTTGTTGAGTGACCTGTAATCAATGAAGAAGCGCCAACTCCCATCCTTCTTTTTGACTAACAACACCGGGCTTGAGAAAGGGCTCTTACTCGGCCGAATCGTTCCTGCTTCGAGCATTTGGGCTACTAACTTCTCCATTTCCTCCTTGTAAGCGTGAGGGTACTTATAGGGTCTCACACTGATAGGGCCTGCTCCCGGAATCAACGTGATAGCATGTTCTCTGTTTCTGATAGGCGGTAACTGAGTCGGCGCTGCAAACACCTCTAAGAACTTATCCAATAACGTCTGAACTTGCTGTGGTATCTCAGAAACAGCTTCCACCTGATTCAATTCACCTGCTTCAATGTCCCATCCAACTAACTCCAAGCAACTCAGCGAGTGATTATCTTTAAACGAGCGACCACTGGATTGAAGAGCTGGATCGCCAAACAACGTAATACGCTCTCCGTTATACGTGAATGACATTTCGTGTTTGTCCCAGTCATGCTCGCATTTCCCCAAAGTTCTCAGCCAATCAACGCCTAGGATAATCTCTGCATTTCCCAACTCCAGAACTACTAAATTCATGACAAACGCATGTCCTTGTAACTCCAAGGAGACGTTTCTGCAAACGCCTGTGCCATTGACTGTAATTCCCGTGCCCAATAAAATCTCGAGCTTTCTGTTCCTAGCAGGGTGTAACTGGGTTTTACTTAGAACAGAAGGATCAATGAAATTATGGATGGCACCACTATCAATCATCACTACTAACTTCACTCCACCAATATCACCCCACAACTTCGTAACCACTGGTGAGTCAAGTCCCAAATATGAGCATAGAGATAGCTCCATTAAAACTGGACTCGTCTCTGACTTCTCTTCAAAACCTTCCATCCAATCTTCATCTGTAATCTCCACCAAGTCCTCATCAATCACAGTAAACACCTGAAGTAGCATGTTTTGGCATTGATGTCCTCTCATCCATTTCTCTGGGCACTTGTAACAAAGGCCCAGTCTCCGCTTCTCTGCCATCTCTGCAGGACTCAGTTTCACCATTCCACTATGGTTCTTGCCTCCACTGCTCTGCCACGGAGGTTTGTTCTTCTCCTGAGTCACCAAGCTTTTGTTTTGCTCAGTTGAATCCACATTCCCTGGAGAATTGTACTGGGAAGAAGAACGCAACGGAAACAACGTTGAACTACGTCTTGATGGATTCACTGACGCTGCCATAGCTCTGCAGAACTGACTACCCTCCATTGAGATCACGGTTGTGAAAAGGGCAGATAATCCTTTCGGCTTTTGCATCTTCACAACTTCTTGCATCTCAGGTTTCAGTCCCAAATAGAAAACCAACTCCAGATTCTCTTCTTCGACTCCCGTCACAATTGTTGTTAACTCTTCAAACTCATTCACATAATCCGCTACTGAACCTCTTTGCTTCAGAGCAAACAATCTCATCCGTGGATTCTCTTCTAACTTCTGGTTGAATCTAGGCGATCATTCTTCGTTTAAACTGACACCAATCACTGAACGGTTCCCGCTGCATCTCTCTGTTGAACCAATGCAGTGCCGGTCCTTGAAGAGTGATGGATAACAGATCCAAACGATCTTCATCGTTATATTTCCCCAGACGGAAAAACCTCTCTGCTTGCGAAATCCACAAATACGGATCTGTTCCGGCGAACGCCGGTAGCTCAATTCGCTTCAACATGTTATTACGGTTCTCTAAAACTGAGCTACATTTCCGATAACCTAGTGATTCTCCAGGATCCGGTGGAACAGAATCACGTACCTCACGATCATCCGCCGTCGGTGATGTCGTGCGATTCCGGTGAGACGGACTCCGGATTCCGATTTCCTTCGATCCGCGACAACGATTCCATGATACGAGATAGGTTTCGATCCATCGCATCCATACGATCGGTGACGACGTGATGAGCCTCCGTGAGCTGATCCCAACCGCACCTTGCATCTTATCGACTCGATCTGTCAACGCCGCTACTGTGCCGTGAAGAACATCCGCCAAATCATCGATTTTCCCCATTCTGATTCGCGAATCCGATGAATCACCGCACCAATTTGTTAAGAGAATGCTATATAGATTCCGATAACAAAGTTACAAAGCTGATCGGGAAGGTATCTCTCCTCCACCAAGCGACTTATCTCTCTTGATCCGAAGAACAGATTCTCGATCAAACTCACTCTCTCTCTAAGTTGTTATTCAATTTCTGGATAATGTTGTAAAGTAAATGATACAAGTATTTAAAAGACTCAGCTTCCTTCTTCTAATCCTCTCGCTCAATAAGAGACTCGTCATTTCCGGTAATTGCTAAACCGGTCTTCTTCCTTCTCCTCACAAACCGGTTAAGCAATCTAACACAACTCCACAACTGGAAGCTCAGAAGGAGTTAATATTTCAGATTCAAATGGGGAAACTGAGAACACAACAGATGACAACGTATCAGACAAAAAATCTTTGGCTTGGTCACATTTTACTGCGGGTGATGGTGATGTAAAGGATAAGTGCACTCATTGTTCAGCTCTGATTTGTTGCAGAACTAAGGATGGTGTTACAACTAGTGTGATGCTTAAGCACTTGAAAGTATGCAAAATTTTAAAGCGAGAAGCGGTCACTGATGATGAAAGAGATGGTAAAAGGTTGAAGCAGTCAACTCTACATCATCAAAGACAAGATAAATGTGCAGGTAGTTCAGTACCTTCTTACTTGGTGTATGATCCAGTTGCGAGTCGAAAAGCATTGGCGGAAATGATAATAATGGATGAGTGGCCATTTAGGTTTGTTGAACGCAAAGGATTTAGGCGTTTCATGCGTATAACTCAGCCAAGATTTGATATGCCTTCTCGTAGAATTGTGACTAGAGACACCTTAAGAATCTTTGATGAAGAAACGTCCAAGCTTCGAAGCTTTTTCAGGAACTATAAAGGTAGTGTTTGTCTGACTACGGACACATGGACATCAATACAAAATCTGAACTGCATGTGTCTTACAGCTCATTATATTGATGAGGATTGGAATTTGTACAAGCGAGTGATCAACTTTTGTTTGGTGGATAATCACGCTGGTGAGACCATTGGTAATGTTTAATTAAGCAATGTTTGGAGCTCCAAAAGGTCGACACAAAAGCTGGTATTTGTCTAGATGTTGAAACAAGATGGAACTCGACTTTCCTGATGTTAGAAGCTGCTTTTAATCTAAAGAAAGGTTTTGATATGCTTGAGTTGGAGGATGACAAGTATCTTTCAGAACTTGCACGAATTTGTCAAGTTGCACCAAGTGATGAAGATTGCAGTGTTGCAAGTGCATTGTTACCAATATTGCGGTTCTTTTACGATGCAACTTTGAATATTTCTGGATCTAAGTATGTTACAGGTTACACATACATGAAAGAGATATTTGGAGTGGGCTTGATGATAGTGAAGATGGACACCATGGGAGACCAATACAAAAAGGATATGGCTGAGAAAATGAGTGAAAAATTCTACAAATATTGGGGGAACTACAAAAATATTAATATGTTGATCTACGTTGCTGCCATACTTGATCCTCGTTATAAAATGAAATGGGTTGCATGGGTAATTAATGGAGTTTACCATACAGATGAAGCTGTTTGTCTACTTGGGATGATAAAAAACACTTTGGAGAGGTTGTTTGTGTATTATGAGTCTTTACAGTCTAAAGTTGGAGAAGAAACTATCCAAGAGAAAAGAAATTCAAAGTCAAGTTCTCGAGACAAAGACAGAACACAATCGTTGATGGATTCCATGTTTGACGAAGCTGAAGAAAGTGAAGATGATGTTGTTGTCAAAACAGAGTTAGAAAGCTATCTCGATGAAGCTCGGAAAGATAGAAAAAATCCAGACTTTGATATTTTATTTTGGTGGAAGACAAGAGGCTCAAAGTACAAGCTTTTATCAATGATGGCAAAGGATGTGCTGGCCATGCCTGTATCAATTGTTGCTTCGGAATCTGCCTTTAGTGCTGGAGGCCGGGTGTTGGATCCGTTTCGAAGTTCTTTGACTCCGTGTATTGTTAAAGCTTTATTTTGTACTCAAGATTGGTATCGTGAATTCGTGATGATGATGAAGATTTGAGTGTGGAAGAGATTTTATCTGATCTTGAGAATATTGAATCAGGTATAATCTCCGTTTTTATTTAGTTTTGTGAATATTTTGATGATCTTTTTTCTTCCATTAGTTTTTAATTTAACATTTTTCAGAGATGAAGAATTTAAACATGGAGTCTAATATGGAAACAGAATAATTGAGGTACGTAGTATTCTTTCGGCCTTTCCTACTTTTTCAGCTTTGATATTTGATAGTATTTCTACTATGCTTAGTAGAATTTTCATATTTAAAGATTTTATAATGGTTCATGTATAGTGATGGTTTGCTTCTTTTCATTGCTAGGTTGTTGCAACGATGTTCGCTTGTGATGAAAGAGACACGAGAGCTGGATTTCTTTGTCGATTTCTTCATTGAAATCTTTATTTGATCGTTAAGATGCTTTGGCATGGAATTTAATATGTTTTTCTTTATCTAGGATTAGATTAGGCCCGCGTATACACGGGTTTATTATACAATTTTTGAAATAAATCATAGAAAAATATTAAATAAATTTGACACTTTAAATGTAAGTAGATTAATATTAAAACACCGATAAAAGACCTCTAAATAATATTAGATTGGTAATCTTTTTACATTTTTATTATAACTCACATATTTTCTGAATTCATGATACGAAAAATAAATTAATTTGTTATCTTTGTACTTTTATCTAGGGAAAAACCCTGAAAAATACACGAACTTAATTAAATTTGGAAGATTAATACACGAACTTTTTAGGCTCCCTGGAAAAAACACAGACTATTTTTGGAACTGGAAACAATACATCAACTTTCAAATTATAAAATGTTGCAAAGGCGGACTAATCCGCCGTTAGTGGGTTAAACGGGGGATTAAAAACTCTGTTAACTCTTAATAGCATGTGGGTTTAGTGCGACGAAAATGACGGTTTTGCCCTCCTTTGCTAACTCTGAAATCGATTTTTCCCCAAATCGATTTTTAGAAACCCTAAAATCGATTTCACTTCTGAAACTCTCTCTCTCTCTCTCTCTCTCTCTCTCTTTCGCCTGAGAACCCAGAAGACAAGCATCAATAGCTAAATCGATTGTCCTAATTGCGTCTTTAGTTCTCTTCATTCCCTTATCCGAAGGACATGAACTAAATAATCGGTGAAGAAGACGCCGAAAATCCAGCCGACAGTCAAAGAAGATGAGGTTTGACTCTAAATTTTGAGCTAATGTTTTGTCTATTTCGATTATAAAGTTATGTTGGTCTTGTTGTGTGATTTATATTGATTCTCTGTGAATTTAGTGTTTTTGTTGGATTTATGATATCGATTATAATGTTCGCCAACTAATGTTAGATGATATGGATGTGGCTGAGTTGGATTTAGAATACATCGTAGAGCTTGTAATCGATAAGATGATTGCAACTCTGTGGCTTTGTGATTTCCCAACCATTGTTTCAGCTATCCTAATTTTTTTTTGTTTTCTGATTTTGCAGTGAAACCATCCCAATAAATCTGTATTACAGAGGCTTTATGGTGTATAAGAACAATGCGTTCAAATACGACGGAGTGTTGTCGAAGCCTGGCTTACTTATGGACCCAGATTATGCTACATGGAGCCTTTTTCAGGACTTTGCTGATGAACATGCAGCTAATTGCGTTCCTGTACAGCAGATTTGGTACAAGCTCAGTAGCCAGGATATGGATAAAATAACGTCTATTTTTCATCTCAGGTCTGATGCAGAAATCAACCAGATGTGTGGTATAGTTATTGAAGGAGGAGGCGAACTTGATTTGTTTTTGGAGCAACTCAAAATGCCTGCGATTTCCCATAAGGAAGATGAAAGAGAAGCACAAGCTGTTAATGAAGCAACTGAGGAAGAAAACAGAGATGATATAGTTGATTATGCAAGAGCGAATAAAGCTGTTGAGGAGGAACAAGAAGAAGATATAGTGAAAGAAGGTGGTGATGATGCTAGGTTTCTGGAATATTATCAGGAAATTCGTCTAAACGATAATGTTGGTCAAGGATTTGACACTAACGGAGAAGATGTGGCTCCTACTGGTGAAGAGACGGCAGGAGAGCCTTTGGATGATGATGATGAGGCTGAGATGGAGAGACAATGTCATGATGCTGACAGACCAGAACCTGTTGTTGATACTGATGATGAGTGGGACGATTTCTGCAGGAAGGAAACTGCAGTTTCGAGAACCACATACAGAAAAGAGAAGGCTCCTTACTTGTGGTTAATGCAAACACTCAGGAGTGGTAACGCGTTTAAAGATCAACTGCTGAGGTATGTCTTGAAAACCAACTATGATGTGAAGTTGTGTAGATGGGAGAAGACTAAACTCGCAGCAGTGTGTACGAATGAGAAGTGTCCCTGGAAGATTTATTGTTCAGTTGAGAAGCCAAAGAAACTATGGATGGTCAAAAGCTTTGTTGACGTTCATAACCACATGAAGAGTAGTAAAGCTAGGATGCTGAAGCAGGGAGTTATTGCTAACTTATACAAGGATGAAGCAAGAAGAAGACCTGGTTTGAGGTGGACAGATATTAAAGACGAAATCATGCTGAGGTATAATCTTTCTGTCTCTAAGTGGATCTGATCTAAAGCAAGAAGAATAGCTCTGGATTTTGTTATTCAGACTCAGAGAGAGCAATTTGCGAAGTTGTGGGATTATGAGCTTGAGCTCAAGAGGAGGAATCCAAATATAACTACTGAGATTGTGACCATTCCTTGTGCAGAAGATGGTAAGCCTGTTTTCAATAGCTTTTACATTTGCTTTGAAAATCTCAGAAATACTTGGAAAAGTTGTTGTCGGCCGATCATTGGACTAGATGGAGCATTCTTAAAATGGGAGTTGAAAGGAGAGATTTTGGCTGCGGTTGGAAGGGATGCAGATAACAGGATTTTTCCTATAGCTTGGGCTATTGTGAGAGTAGAGGATACTGAGTCATGGACTTGGTTTGTCGAGAAATTGAAGATTGATTTGGGTTTGGAATTAGGGAATGGTATCACAATCATTTCTGACAAACAGAAGGGTTTGATCAATGTTGTCGCTGATCTCCTCCCAAATGCAGAACACAGACATTGTGCAAGACACATATTCGCTAATTGGAGGAAGAATTACAAAACAGAAGACTATGAGGATTATTTCTGGGATATTGCATACAACTCAAATGTTGGTGATTTTCAGTTCAACATGGATGCCTTGAAGGCGTTTGACGAAACCGCATACACGGATCTACTGAAAACAGAACCAAAGATATGGTGTAGAGCTTGGTTTCCGTATCATTCAAGGTCTGAAGATGTTACCAACAATTTGTCAGAGAGTTACAACCGCACCATCAAAGAAGCCCGTAAGTTGCCACTAATCAACATGCTTGAAGAGATTAGGAGACTAGCTATGAAACGCATCTCGAGAAGGCGTGAGAAGACTCGTAGTTGTGTTACTAAGTTTCCACCACATATCATGGCGATTTTCGAGAAAAATCGCAAGGCTAGCAAGCATTGCACAGTGATTCAAAGTAGTGAAAGCTTGTATGAGGTGATGGAGCTTACTGGTAGCTTCGAGGTGTGTCTTCCAGAAAAGCATTGTGGTTGTAACCAATGGAATCTCACAGGAATTCCGTGTCGGCATGCGATTTGTGTCATCACAGAACATAACTATGATCCGGAAGAGTAAGTCATCTGTCATTGCTTAACTCTCGTTTACTTGTTTAGATACATATCAGTTTCTTAACTCACTCTCTAATCTGTTCCATCTATGTTGACTCCTGCTACCTCACATCCTTATGGAAAGAAACTTATGTGGACAACATAAGACCTGTAAATGGAGAGAGATTGTGGGAGAAAACCGGGAAGGAGCCCATTCAAATTCCCGACAAAAGGCGAATGCCTGGGCATCCAAAGAAGTATGACAGAATAAAGGAGGCACATGAGTCATCAAAAAACCCTACAAAGGTTACAAGAGAGGGAAGAACGATGACTTGTAGCAACTGTAAGCAAACTGGTCACAATAAAAGCACTTGTGAGGGCGCAACTGTGGTTCCAACAGGGCCTAAAAGGAAGAGAGGAAGACCAAAGAAATCTCCTGTAAGTTTCTTGGTTTGAATATTTGGTTTCTGAGATAGTATTTGATATTGAATTTTTGGTTTCTTAGATAGTATTTGGTGTTGAATTTTGATAACTTAGATATCGTTGATTCTTTAACAGGATGATCCATGGAGCATTCAAAATGCACCTAAGAAGAGGAAAGCTAAAACTCAGTCAACACCAGATGAGTCTACTGCTGCTGCTACACCGCTTTCTTCTGATCAACATCCGTCAACTGCTCCTGCTGCTCCAGATTCGTCTACTGCTCCGGCTGCTCGAGGTGGTGGACGTGGGAAAGGTCGTGGTCGTGGGAGAGGTCAAGGTCGTGGGAGAGGTGAAGGTCGTGGGACTTGTACACAGCCTTCTACGGCTCCTGCTGCTCCAGAAAACCCTGCTGCGTCTGCTCCGTCTTCTGCTCCCGAAAGTCGTCCTCGTGGCCGTCCTCGTGGTCGTGCTCGTGGTCGTCCTTATATTCCCAGAGGGTATGGGTTGTTTGTTGCCCCATTTTCTGGTGGAGTCTTTGATGTTTGGGGATCTAGAGCTGTTGATCTAGATGGCCCTCCTCCACGAGCACCTCCTCCACAAGCATCTTCTTCACAAGAACCTTCTTCGCAAAGACCACCTTCGCAACGCCAAAACCTTTAAGCTTGGAATTATCTAGCTTTGAACTTTGTTTATGCTATTTTGTCTTTGGATCACAGCTTCGTTTATGCTACTCTTTTGGAAGCTCTACTTTTGTTTATGCAGCTCGTTTAGAAACTCAAGTTTGTGTTTGGTTGAGACAAATCTTTTGAAAACTTTACATTGTTTTTGGTTTATGCAAGTATTTTATGGAACTCTTTCACCATCATCGTTTCACTATGATTACCATTTAATACTTCACCATTGTCTTAGTGTTGATACTTTTGTTCATGCAACTCAAAGTGATTGAAAAAAAAGAACATGGCATTCAAAGTTTCAAACACACCATTACAAGAGAAAGCAAGGAACGAAACACACACAGCCGAGAAACATTCAACACAAACCAAAAACTACAGCCATAATTCTCCTCTATTCTACTACAATAATCTAATTCTTCACCATTTTGAAAGTTGATGTATTGTTTCCAGTTCCAAAAATAGTCTGTGTTTTTTCCAGGGAGCCTAAAAAGTTCGTGTATTAATCTTCCAAATTTAATTAAATTCGTGTATTTTTCGCCTGTGATGAAAGAGACACGAGAGCTGGATTTCTTTGTCGATTTCTTTATTGAAATCTTTATTTGATTGTTAAGATGCTTTGGCATGGAATTTAATATGTTTTTCTTTATCTAGGATTAGATTAGGCCCGCGTATACACGGGTTTATTATACAATTTTTGAAATAAATCATAGAAAAATATTAAATAAATTTGACACTTTAAAAGTAAGTAGATTAATATTAAAACCCGATAAAAGACCTCTAAATAATATTAGATTGGTAATCTTTTTACATTTTTATTATAATTGACATATTTTCTGAATTCATGATACGAAAAATGAATTAATTTGTTATCTTTTTACTTTTATCTAAAATTGAAAGACTTACACATGTGTAAGTTTGATTGATTGATTAATTCGTGAAAATTTTATTATTCCATTGAAGAGATTTCGGTTGATGAAATCTTTTTTTTTAATATTTTTTTACCTAACAAAAAAATTAAACTATTAAAATTAGAATATCAGTTCATTATAATTTTTTTCCTGTTAATATTAGTTAGTTGCTCGATAATTATTTTATTAGTTTTCTATTTATATTGTTTTTTCAGTTTTGTTTTTGACTCAGGCCATTATAAAATTTCCTTTCCATTATTAGTTAGTTGTTTTCTAATTATTTTGTTAGTTTTTTTATTTATTTTATACATTTTTCCAATTTTCTTGTGTTAACACTTGTTTTCAAAATATTAGACACAAGTAGCAACAATAATTTTGATTTGGATCCAACTGATCTAGAGTTAAATATTCTTCATTGATATCATGAACTTTCAAATACATTATATTTATTTCTTAATGAGAGAGAAGTTTAATCAAAAGATAGAATCACACAATTAAATCATGAAGGTATAGCTTACTATATATTATTATTTTTTCCTTTTGTATTTGAAATATGTTTTACTTTTCCTTTTCGTAATGGATGTAACAATTTTTTTTCTTTTTTGATTTTCGTTTTTTTTTTCTTTTCTTAATGAGAGTTATTTTTCCTCCTTTTCTTAATAAGTATATATCAATATAATATGTTACAACTTTTCATCAAGTAATAGAAGTTTTTTTATGAGCAGACTGCAGATTAAAATTACAAATTTCGATAATGTTTCCTTCGGCCATCTGATCTCAAAATTTTGAAGTAGTGAATGATGCACAAAAACTTGAATTGTATTTTCCTGTTTCAAACAAAAGTAAAACTTTAATGTTAATCAATGTTATAATAAGATTATCTATATCAATATAATAAGATGTTACTAACCTTTTCATCAAGTAATAGAAGCTCAACTCCCATAAGAATAGTACGGCGATAATTTCGATTTCGATCCAATTGACCTAGAGTCAAATAATCTCCACTGTTCTCTTGAACTTTCAAAGACATGATTTTAAAATTAGAGAAAAAGAATCAAAGAGATTTGCTGAATTTGCTTTGATGAGTTTGTGAATGAGAAAAAGAGAATACAGTAGCTCTCTTTTTATAGGGGTTCATGTAACCAATTTCATACATTTTATGATATTTAGTTTACATACCTATTCCATGTACTAATAGATTTTTTAAAATAGGGGTTTATGTAACTATTCCATACAGTTTTAGGATATTTAGTTTACATATCTATTCCATGTACTAATAGGTATTTTTTATTACATTATTTTTAATTTATTATATAAATTTTCGTTTTTATTATAAAAGATTAAAATTTTCCTTTATTTTTTTTTCCTTTTTCAAGACACATGTCACGATCTTAACGGATATAACATTAAAAGTGACACATGTCGCAATCCTATATTTTATAAAAATCTACGTGTCGCAACCACGTTGTGCGCATCCAGTTTATATAATAAGATATTCTTGTTTTCATTGTTTTTTTACTACGGAGAAATCATGTTTTTGAAATTTCTAGATTTTCAACAAGACTGTCATTATAAATTAGACAAGAGAAACAAAATCACATGTTTAATAATTTACGAGTTGGATCCGGATATCCCCGGGTATTCAGGTTTTTTTCGGATATCCAAAATCTCGGATATCCGGGTTGTTCGGATCCAAATCTGGATGATAAAATTTTGAATACGGCGGATCCGAATACCCTGAAAATCCCGGATATCCGACCCGTGCTCAGACCTACTGAGAATCAAGCAGAGAAATCAAGTGGTACCAGAAATAAGGAGGATCTGGAGGCTCTGGAGGAGGTTCCGGTAAGGACGGCAAGATACTCATCCAGAGGTGAGAAGGTATCGGCGCACAAACAGCCATCTCCCAAGCTGGCGCCTCCGACGGCATGAGAAGAGGGGAGGAGAACTCAGTCCTCAAAAGTTCCGCCACACTCATCAATAACACAATGGAGAAGACAACTGACCAGAGAGAAGATGAAAAAAATAGACTAGATCTCACCGGAGAAAGCTCCGGCGGAAGAAGAAACAACTCATCGGAATCCAAAGGAGGATCCGAGAAAGAGGGGAGCTCGGCGGAGAAACGAAAGAGACCGGAGGGCATTGTGGTTGTAGGGAGATCCATCCTGAGAGCGGAGCTCGGCGGAGAAACGAAACTCGGTGCTTTGGTTTGTGTGCATGGGAGAAAACGAGATCTACTTTTTTTGAAGTTGTTACTTGAGAAATGAGAAATACAAACCAATTGTATTTATAACCGTTTTTTTTTTTTTAATTTTCTTTAAACTTTTTTTCATTGCTCTTCTCTGCGTTCTCTCTCGATTGATTCCTTTCAAGTTAAGTTTCTTCCATTTTCCATTTTATTGAGAAATTAACTACAAATTATTGAAATTTTGTTAGAGCATCTCCATCGGGAGATTTAAAGAGGGTTTTAAATTTAAAAGCAGATAAAATTCAACTTCAGCTGAAACTCAGTTTCAGAAGCATCAAGCATCTCTCCTGAATTCAAGTACATGAAAGCCATTGGTTATACTCTTGATGATATCAAGGGCATCTCTCCTGAATTATGCATTCATAGAATTCATTTGGAGGATGAAACTACGTCTAGCATTGAACCTCAAAGGAGATTGAACCCGAATCTAAAGGAAATAGTGAAGAAGAAGATACTCCAGATGCTTGATGTTGGGATAATCTATCCCATCAGTGATAGCACTTGGATATCTTCAGTTCACTGCGTCCCAAAGAAGGGAGGAATCGCTGTCATAAAAAATGACAAAGAGGAGCTGATCCCCACTAGAACAATAGTGGGACATCGCATATGTATATACTATAGAAAGTTAAATTCTGTATCTAGAAAAGATCATTTCCCTCTTCCTTTCATTGATCAGATGCTTGAAAGATTGGCAAACCATCCCTTTTACTGTTTTCTTGATGGTTACAGCGGTTTCTTCCAAATCCCGATCCATCCAAATGATCAGGAGAAGACCACTTTCACATGCCGTTATGGTACCTTTGCTTATCGAAGGATGCCATTTTGGCTGTGCAATGCCCCAACTACTTTCCAGAGATGCATAACCTTCATTTTTTGGATCTGATGGAGGAGAAGGTAGAAGTCTTCATGGACGATTTCTCAGTCTATGGAGCATCCTTCTCCTCATGTTTGTCAAACTTGTGCAGGGTTTTGCAGAGGTGTGAGGAGACAAATCTGGTACTCAACTAGGAGAAGTGCCACTTCATGGTTCATGAAGGGATTGTTTTTGGACACAAAATTTTTGAGAAAGGGATTGAGCTCGATCGAGCCAAGGTGGACATGATGCTGCAGCTTCCTGTGCCTAAGACTGTGAAGGATATCAAGAGCTTTCTGGGTCATGCAGGGTTTTACAGAAGATTCATTAAGGATTTCTCTAAAGTGGCAAGGCCTTTGACAAGACTTCTTTGCAAGGAAGTGGATTTTGAGTTTAATGATTAGTGCCATAAGTCCTGATTCTTGTTGAAGGATGCTCTGGTTTCTGCTCCAATTGTTCAAGCTCCAAATTGGGATTACCCATTTGAGATCATGAATGATGCTTCTGATTATGTAGTTGGAGTTGATGTTGGCCAGAAGATTGACAAGAGGTTGAATGTCATCTATTATGCAAGCAGAACTATGGATGATGCTCAGGTCAAGTATGCAACTACTGGGAAGGAACTCCTTGTTGTGGTCTTTGCCTTTGAGAAGTTTTGAAGTTACTTGGTGTTTTCAAAGGTGATTGTCCACACAGATCATGCTGTCCTTAGGCACATCTTTGCTAAGAAGGATACAAAACCCAGGCTTCTTAGATGGATTTTGTTGCTCCAAGAGTTTGATATAGAGGTTGTGGACAAGAAAGGAATAGAAAATGTAGTTGATGATCATCTGTCTAGGATGCAAATTGAAGACATAGTCCTAATCAATGATTCTATGCCTGAAGAACAGCTAATGGCAATCTGGACTTTGAAATAAGGGTTTGATGAGAAGGTTAGACTTGAAGAGGTCAAGGCTCTGCGAGATGAGAATCTGCTTTGGTATGCTGATATAGTGAATTTCATGGTGGCTGGAGAGGTTCCCTGATTTTGATGCTTACAAGAGGAAGAAGTTCTTCAAGGATACTAGGCACTATTATTGCGATGAGCCTTACTTGTACAAGAGAGGATCAGGCAACATCTACAGAAGATGCATAGCTGAAGAAGATGTGCAAGAAGTTCTAAAACATTGCCATGGATCTGCTTATTGAGGTCACTTTGCCACATTCAAAACAACAACTAAGGTCTTGCAAGCTGGACTAATCGGTGAAGGAGAGTACTCCTCCTGAAGGTCCAAAGCTCCTCAAATCAGGAGCCCAGTGCTGAGATATGTGCACAAGGCGCTTGCGAACACCTTCTTTGCAAGGAAGGCAACCGGCACAATCAATGAAGGAGAGCTCAAGCTACTTGACATGGGGATCCAGCCCATACTCTCCTACACAAGCGATGAAAGAAAGATCCGTGGAGACACCTCATACACAGGGAACCTCATGCCCTTCCTTGATCGACTCCTCACCTACAAGACAACAGCCTACAACACTCGATTTCAAAAAAAGAGGAGGATGAGCATTGGAGGACTCATCACACCAATTCTGTGTGCAGCTGGTGTGAATCCAACTCACTTTAAGGCCACTCCACCTGGTTGGATGGACATCAAGTTCTGCAAAACAAACAATCTCATCGATCACAAGGAGGTGAATGGGAGGTCCTAATTCCTCTTTAAACATCCCACAGATGGTGTCTCCAAGATGCTTCTGCCCAACCGTGACTTCACAACAGTTGGAGAAGGTAACAACATCGACTTTAGCCCTCCACTTCACACACTAGTTGGGCATGAAGATGACATGCGAGAAGAGGAGCCTGAACTCGATCGAGCTGAGGATCGAGTTGAGGATCGAATCCAGATTGAAGAGGAGCTAGGCGAGCCGGATTGCTACTATTTTGAGGAGTATGAAGCTCCAAGGATGAATCCCTCTGTTGTGGCTGCTCACAAGAGGATTGGACTCCTCCAAAAGTTCAACAAGTGGCAAGGGAAGGCAATGAAGAAGATGCAAAATTCCATGGATAAGATGGTGAGCAAAATCAAGAGCTTGGAGAAGAAGGTCACTGGTTCTTCATCTAAGAAGAACAAGGCATCTCTCACCTCTCCATTCCGTAGGAGCCTCTCAGTTTTGACAACACCAAGGAGACTCCCAGCTCAAGATCCGCCCAGAGCCTCATCATACGAGCCAAGAGAGGCAGGTGCCAGCAGACAGAGGCGGAAGAAGAGTTCAAGAGTCTGACGCTCTGACTCGACCAGTAGGCTCGATCGAGTCCAAACAGAAGAAACCGAACTCGGTCGAGTTGGTGGTCGAGTTAAATTTGAGGAGCCGGAATTTGAGAATCCGGGTTATGAGTTTGATCCAGCGCCTTACCAGGACTTCCATCAGAGCAGCTGGCCTCCATACAACCGGTTTGAGCGAGCCAGATTCCACCAAGGCCAAGGGAGCCACACTCACTTTGAGGATGATGATGAAGAGCCACAAACCAATGAAGGCTGCACGGATATCGTGGAATGGAGTGCTCCAGAACTTGCTTCCCAGATCTTTGGGGAGCACTTAGGTATCAAACATTTCTCCTTGTAAATACCATTTCATTTTCAGGCATTTTTCTTTGTTTTTCTTGGTTTTTCCCTCTTGAATCTTTTATTGAACTTCTTTCACACAAGGGACTGTGTGATTTAAGTTTGGGGGAGGGTTCAAGAGATGATCTAACCTTGTTTATTATGTTCTTAGTGTTTCATTCATCCTATTTGCATAGAAAACACAAAAAAATCATAAAATTTTCAAAAAATCCAAAACTATTTTCATCTTTTTGCATTCATACTTGTTAGATTTGTTTAGGTTTGCATCATTCACCTCTGTTTTTATTGTGCATTGTTGATTTGGTCTTGTGAACTTGTTCATCTTTTTCGATTTGTTAAGTGTCCTATTTCTAGATTTTTTTGTGCATTAGGGTGAGATTGATGAACAACAAGGAACTATGTTTAACTTGATCATATCGCTGTATGCACACCTCATTTAACATTTGCTGTCATTTGATGCATTTCCCTATCTATTTGAATCTTAAATTTGATCTTTAAATACCAATGCGTGCATTTGATTTCAACTCATGAATACCACATACATATCTAGACATTCTTTGTGTATTTTTTATCTCTCTTGCTTGTCTAGATAGCTGATCTCCATCTTTGAGACAATTACCATACCCTAAACTTTAACCTTTTTCATTTCAAACCTCCATATAATCTCTTGATAGCGATTGTGAGGCCTTTTCTTGGCTATGCTTAGAATAAGGTGCTGTGTTTAAACCGGCACGAGAAGTAATTCTATTTATCTAGTTCTCTTTGGGTTGTTTTCAGACTAAGTTTGGGGGTTTCCATTTGGACTTGGGCGAGTTGAAAGTAAAAACCAGAAAAGTGGTAAAAGTTGGGAAAAAAAAAGAAAAAATAAAAGAGTTTGGTTAAGTTCAGGGAGTTGGTCAGTGTTTAAAAGGGTCTAGTAAAGGTTTGGGAAATGTAAAAAGAAAGAAAAAAAGGTTCTAAGTAGTAAAGAAAAGAAGGCAAAGCCTCAAGTGTTCAAAAGAAAAGAAAAAGTTTCCTAAATGTTTAGAAAATCCTAAACCGCTAGATGTTACCTTAAGAAACCTCTCCATGTGTTGTTCTTAAAGAAAAGTGAGCAAAACTCCTCTGTTTCAAAGGCGAAATGCCAAAAGGATAGTTAGGATTTGATCTTCAGCTCTGGGTTTCAGACTCGATCGAGTCAGAATTAGGTAGTTCGAGTTGCTGCTCTTGCATCATCTTTGGTTCTAACCCTTAGCCTCATGCCAAAGCATAGCCGCTTTCTTGAGAGATCCCTGCTACTAAACTACAAACACTCAAAAGGGACCATCTTTGTCTCTTAACCATAAACCCTTAAACCAAATGAGTTGATAATTTTGCGTGTTTTTGGTTCACTATTCTACTTAATGAATGTTAAAGGGATTTGCTGATTTGAATGCATTGTTTGAGTGACTATGAAGTGGGGTTGATCTTGTTAAGCATGGTTAAAATCTTAGCATCAAAAATGTTATTACTTTGTTGATTTATATGCACTATATCATATATTAAAGTGAAAATATTGTTTTGAATATACATTGAAAATAAAAACTGCAATTATCTATAGTTTTTGAGAAAGCTATTAGATAACCGAAAAAATGACCAACATGAACGATCACTAGCTGAATTCAAATACATGCCAAAACAAGAAATCTGATTTTTCAGTGATGAAACATGGAACTAATTAAATGTAACCAATGGATGTTTGAAAATTATTAGAAAGATATGGGGCTAAGAGGATTTGGTATGAATCGTGACAGACATGCAATCTCTAAAAATAAACAGATGAGAGATAGGGTGATCAGGTTCTTAGTTGCCTCAAATTTTAAAATATATTATTTTTCAGTATATTTAATTAATAGTTAAATAAAAAATAATGATGAATTGAAGAGTGTCATTGGAAACTTTTGAACCCACATTGCGAAGAATGAAGAGTAACACTGCCAAAAAGGTAAAAGAACATTTAATAACATGTGGCTTTTAATTTTAATATATCTTTTGGTGGCGTAAAATACTTACGCATCTCTTTCGCAATGTGATGCATATAAAAGAAAAAGGTTTGTGTGATCGTGGCCGAAGAGGGAATGATAAGATTTATTGTTTTAATTGTTTAAGTTGTTTAACTGAACATGGTGTTTAGGTTGCTAGTATTTATTTATTTATTTATTTGAATTATTTTGTTGAACATGATTTATATTTAATGTTTATTTATTTTAAAACTTCCTGTAACATCCGTAAAACCTTGGAATTGAGAAATTTGGATTGTGTCGAGCGACACAAAGGAATTGTGTTGGTCGACACAATCCTGGTTCGCGATTCCCGGTTCGATTTAAGTGAAATCGATTTTTGGTTAAGCCGGTTTGGTTCCAGTTTGGGCTGGAAACCCTATTTCTCGTTTTAAAATGACGCAGCCGTCGAGGTGATGAACCTTTTGTCATTTGGCGAGCCGGTTTGAGAGGAGAGGAGTTTTTGTGGAGATTTATGGTGTTTGAGGATCATCCCAAAGGCGGATCATCGTCATTTTGGGTCGGAATCGTGTTGGTGGCTGCGGCGTGGTGTTCTTCGTCGTTATTGTGTTCATCTTCTTCTTCTATTTCTCCCTTTGTTCAATCCAAAATCAAGGTGAGATCATGACTGTGGGTCCGTGATTGCTAGATTTGTGTTTTGTATGTGTTTGGGTGTTGATTTGTGATGTTATTGTTGTTTGTGGTTGTTGATTCGAGTGGTGTTTTTCTGTGATTTGAGTGCTGTTCATAGATCGAACTCTGTGATTTCGGGGATAGGGTCGAACCACACAAATCGTGTGTTGGTCGACACCAGAAGGTTTGTGTCGAGCGACACAAAGCGTGTGTCGGTCGACACCAAAGCGTGTGTCGGTCGACACCAAAGTTTGCGCGCTCGACACATACCGGTTATCTCCGGTCAAAATCGATTTAATTGGTTTAATTGAAATTGATTGGTTTAGTTGAATTAGAATTTGGTTTATCCGAATTGGATTGGTTTAATCTGGTATTTAATTAATTATTGGTTATTTAATTAATAAAATATATGGTAAATTTATTATTAAATTATATAAATTATTTAATAATGGAGAAATGATATTTTAATAATTATTAAGTATATAAAATTATTTTAATTGCTAGTAAATTGCGTAATTGGCCCGCAGGCAGGGTGATTGCTTCACTAAGTATTTGTGAAATACTTACGCAACTCTATCGCAATGTGTTGAAGGTAAAAGGTTTATGTGATCATGGAATCGAGGCTGAAGAGGGGATGATAGGATGTTTACTGTTTTATTGTTTTGCATTGTTTGACTTGCTAGTATATGGTGTTTAGGTTACTAGTATTTCTTTTAATTATTTGAATCCTTTTGTTGAACCTGATTTATTAATATTTATTTATTTAAAGACTTCCGCTGAGTTGTTATTTAATTTGTTAATTAAAAAAAAGAAAAAAAAAAGTTAGGTGTTTCACTTCCGCTAGAATTGTTAGTATTTAACTATTTATAAATTTAAAAAAAAAAAAAAAACGTACCAAATCTCTACATGTGCCCAATCATATCTAAATAGAACGGCACACCCAAACTCGCAGCCTACGGCTGAACCAACTGTGCACCTCTGCCACTGGAGGTACTCCCGGAGCCCCCTGTGGAATTGCTGGCGGAAAACGAGCCAATAGCTGCGTCAGCAAACCCACCACTAAGTCATTACGACCCGGAGTCGGAGCACCACCCCTATCCGGAGCAGCCCCCGCTCCTAAATCAACACTAGCATCCACACTGGCTCACTCACCACGGATACTGACTGGGTCAACGACGCAATCGCCACACTCGGCGCCTCAGTCTCTCCACGACCTTGACCCCGGCCTCCACGGCATCTAGCTCTGTCACCACGGCCTCGAGAACCGTGCCCTCTCGCGCGACGACCTCTAGGAGCTCTGTGCATCTCACTGCATGGAACCAAAATGAGCAACTAGAACACAGAAACACAAACTACACAGACACAACATAAAACACACCGCATAATTTCCCGAAGCCCGAAGAGGATGATAATAAACTATCAACCTAACAGTCCTAAAACCGTCTAGGCTCTGATACCAAAATTAAACAACCAAGTTTTTTTTTTATAATTGAATAACAATTCTAGCGGAAGTCTTAAAATATACAAAATAAATAAATCAATCAATTCAACAATATTCAGCGGAAGCAAATACCATAAATTCAATAAAGTAAACTAGCAACCTAAACACCAGGTACTATTAACTTAAACTATGCAAAACAGTAAAGGTCCTATCATCCTCTTCTTCTGCCTTGATTCCGCAATCACGTAAACCTTTTACCTACAACACATTACGAAAGAGTTGCGTAAGTATTATCATAAATAGTTAGTGAGTAGATCATCCCACCTACATGCCAATTTTGTGAGACACTAGACAAGCAAAAATCCAATACACAGAAAATCAATGGCAAAACAGACAATTTACCCTTGCGTCGAGAAACACACCCTTGAGTCGAGCGACACACCCTTGGGTCGGTCGACGCAGACTCGCAGACAAATCCAGAATCACGAAATCAGCTCAAAAACAGCAAATTAAGGGGTTTCAACACCCGAAATCGATCAAATCACCACAATAACTCAAGAACAACTCAATACCACATCACACAACGAAATCCTAGTGAAACACGAGCCTATGGTCACGCACTCACTTCTAAAACGGATTGAGAAAGGGAAAAGAGAGAGATGGTGATGAACAACGATGAACGGCACTCCGATCTGACCCAAAAACTCCATCCAAATCGCCTCTCCTTCTCTGTTACTGTTCACCCACGAAAATGACAAAAAAGGAGGCAGCTCATCACTTTTATTTCGTGAATTAGGGTTTTCTCCACTAAATCGGCCCAAACCAAACCACTTAAATTGAACTGGGTCAATTTTGCAATTGCTGCGTCGACTGACGCACCTCCTTGTGTCGCCCGACACAACTACCAAAACTCTACAAGAAAGACTACGGATGTAACAGTGATTATGCTGGGGTACCAATTGATACCTGATGTACTTGCATTTTGCATAGTTTTAGTACATCTTTTATGCATCTTTTGCATAGTTTTAGCATCCATTAGCATCATATCTTGTTCCTTTTCCCTTCTTATGCATTCATTGTAGTTTTAGGTTGCATTTGCATACATGTGCATGTTTGATCCTTAATTAGGTCTATTTGGAGCACTATGGAGCAACTGGGACGTGAGGAGCAAGGAAGGACACGGTGCATGAACTCAGCTTGACCGCGCAAGCTGGAATGAAGAAGGAAGCAGCCTTTGAATTCAGCTCGACCCATCTACTCGACCAACCTGTCGAGTTCTCCAACTCGACCGGCCAAAGAACAACTGATCGAGCTGCGGAGTCAATGGTCAAACCCGAAAAATGTTGCTTCCCTTTGACTCCTCCTTTGACCCTAAACCTAATCTTCTCCTATTTAAAGGCTTGTGCCACGAAAAACCAAGCTTTACTTTTTACCACAAAATGTTACTTTCTTTACCTCTTTACTTTATCTTGTAATTTACTTTTAGCTCTCTATGTGTTCTTGAGCTTTCTTGAACCTTAGATCTAGGCTCTACCTTTGTGTATTTGCACTTGCTTATTTCAATAAAAGTTGTTTAGTTTCATCTCTTCTACTTTTGATGTCTCTTTCATTGCATTTCATCATGTATTTCGCAATGTGTAGTGAGTAGTTCTTCTTAGGGTTTAAGATGGGCTAGACTAGAGGATTTTATGCTTAATCTCTCTTGCTTGATGTTCTTAATCTAAAATCTCTCTCTTTTGGAAAAAATCTAATGCAACACAACCACTATCCATGGTGTGTTTGTTCATAAGCGATTTTCCTCATGGGAATGATGGGAAATCGCTTGAAAAGGTCCACTAAGAGCTCCAATATGCTTGCTCTCGAAATGGAGTTTATAGGTGTTGGATGGGTTAGTTTGAGCAATGATCCTACTGCCTCTAAGGCTTGATTCTCACTGGCTAACCCCCTATTTCTGAGATCTTGCCTTAGATGATAGCTTTCACCTTGGGAAAGGGTTAGCTAGGCTTGAGAAGCTCAAAACCGATTAAGTATACCTTCCCCTAGTCGCAAGACCCTGTCTTAGACCTATTCTTCGTCTTAGTAGCTTAAAGTTTGCACCTTTATCGCTTTTTATTGCATTTCCTCTGTTTTTACTTCAACTCGACCCTCAACTCGATCGAGCTCTAATGCTCTGTTCCAACTCGATCGAGCCTTAGGTCGAGCCGTTCGTTTCTTGATCATTTCATGCATTCTCACCCTGTTTAATATCCGCATTGCACTTTCATTTCATTAGGTTGTTAGATTCATCCATCTTTACATTAATCGCTTGAGTTCCTTGTGTTTGCATGAATTCATAGAGTAGCAACAAACCCATTTGGATTGATAACCTCTTCTACTACATCGACTATGATGGTTAAGAGGAATTGATTGATTGTGATTGTACCATATCCCATTATTGTTCACCCCTGTTTGCATTTCCACCTCATAACATTTACATCATTTCATTCACATCACCATAAAATCCCATCATCAATTTGGCGCCGTTGCCATTTGGGTTTGATTATTGTAGCATTTGAGTTTCCGAATCACTTGAACGATCAAGTTATACCACCCTTATTCCTTGTATTGCTGGGTTTTTGATTTCTTTTGCAGGTGTATGCGAACTCAATCGAGTCAAACAACTGAAGACTTGGTCGAGGTAGATTTCACCACGGGCAGAAAATGAAGTCAGAGGACTCAAAGGGTACAAGCAGAACAAGAGGTGGTTATTATTGAAACCATGAACAATCCAAAGGGTAATGGAATCCTTTTGGGTAATGGAATCCTTTTGGGTAATGGACTCGGTCGAGCTAGGCAGACTCGACCGATTGGTCTAGGAGATGCTCAAACCGCCATCAACAACAGAGGCAAGGAATTGTCCCACCACTTGTCCAGAATCACAACATTGAGATCAAGTTGGGAATGATCAACTTAGTGCAAAACAAGATGTTCCATGGGCTATCAAGTAAAGACACAATTGATCACTTGGATGAATTTGATAGGTTGTGTGATTTGACAAAGATCAATGGTGTCTCTGAAGATGCCATCAAAGACTCTTCCCTATGTCTCTCGCTGACAAAGCTCACCAATGGGAGAAGAGCCTACCACATGGTACCATCACCACTTGGAATGAATGCAAGAAGACATTTCTTGCTAAGTTCTTTTCAACCGGTCGCACCGCTAAGCTAAGGAGTGAGATATCAGGCTTCACTCAGAGGAACAATGAGACTTTTGCTGAGGCTTAGGAAAGATTCAAAGGCTACATCAGTCAATGCCCTCACCATAGATTCAACAATGAATCCTTGCTCTCTACACTTTATAGAGGTTGTTTGGCAAGGTATAGAGAGATGCTAGACACGGCCAGCAATGGGAACTTCCTCAATCAGGATGTAGATGATGACTGGCAGTATGTGGAGAACATTGCCAACTCGGATGAAAGCTATGGGGAGGAGTATGATCGCACAGACCGGACCTCGACCGACAACTCGATCGAGTCAGATGCACAGCTGCACAAAGACATGCATGCTCTAAATTCCAAGTTAGACAAACTGATACTAGCTCACTTCCCTGCGAAGCATGTCATCTCTGTCTCTGGTAAAACCCTAGTTCAGGAGTAGGAAGGGGAGGATAACCAATATGAAGTTTGTTATATGAACAATAGACAAGGTGGCTATGGGAACGCCCACTCTAGACCTCAACCTAGCTATGGCCAACAAGGGAACTTCAAGAGCTATCACCTCAACTTTCAGAACCAACAACCAAGTGTGCCACCTGGATTCGTCCAGTAGCTTCTACAAGGGCAGGCCAAGGGTACACTGGACATGAACAACAAGTTGATTGAGATAGATTCCAAAATTGAGTCCTTAACAATAAGAGTTCAGATTATTGAGTCTTCTAGTGCTTCATCCTCTTCATCTCAGGAATATGCTCAAACTGTAACACTAAGAAGCGTCGACAGCTGCCTAACAGAGTTGGTATACCTCAAATCGCTGTGGACATCGATGACGAGGAAGGGGAGGATTTAGTTGAGTATTCAGACATTCCTGCACTCAACTCGATCGAGCCTGAACACAACACTCAACCAGAGCTCGATCGAGCTAGTGAACCGGAAGCTCCACAAGACAAACCTGAACTCGATCGAGCCAGAGAGCAAGCTGACAAAGCTAGTTATAGCCAGCTGCCTAAGCCTGTTGGTAAGAAGAAGGACACTCCATTCGTGCCACCACCATACAAACCCCCTCTACCTTTCCCAGAAAGGTTCAAGAAACAACTATTGGAAAAAGGCTAAGTTTGACGAGCTCATGAAGGAGATTGAGTTGAAGTTGCCTTTCATTGATGCTTTGATGCTCATTCCACCATACCAGATGTTCCTGAAGGATGGTGTACTTCAAAGGACTAAGGAGGTGCAAGGAATGGTGGTCTTGACTCGATAATGCAGTGCAATCATTCAACGAAAGGTTATCTCCGACAAAAAGGAAGATCCGGGGAGTTTTACACTACCTTGCATGCTAGGACCTCTATCCTTCAAAAACAGTCTTTGCGACCTAGGATCATCAGTCAGCCTTATGCCTTTGTCAGTGGCGAAGAGACTGGGCTATCACAAGTATCAAGCCTGCGGAATCTCACTTGTTTTGGCGGATAGATCAATAAGGCTGCCTACTGGGATGCTTGAAGATCTACCTTTGAGGATAGGGAATGTTGAGATCCCCACCGACTTCATTGTGCTTGAAATGGATGAAGAACCAACAGACCCTTTGATACTAGGAAGACCATTCTTAGCTACAGCAAGAGCAATGATAGATGTCTGTGAAGGAACAATAGAGCTGAACCTTGGAAAGGACCTAAGATGAAGTTTGACATCAAGGATACAATGAGAAAGCCAACAATAGAAGGCCAACTCTTTTACATTGAAGAATGGATCAGTTGGCGGATGAGCTTTTGGAAGAGTTGTGTTTGGAAGATCCCTTGCAAGTTGCTCTCACCAAGGATCCATCTGAAGGGTATTGCATTCAGAACTGAGGAGTGTTCGAGGCTCCTTGACACCTTCAGACCGGTTCCAAACATCTTTTGCATTGAAGGGTTAGACGAGCCACTCTGTGAAGTTCTGGCAGTGAGCTCGACCGAGAACTCGATCGAGTCAGGGCATGAACAAACAAGCTCGATCGAGCTGGACAGATGCAAAGAACAAGCTCAAGGAGATTGGTCTGAACTCAAGGCGCCTAAGGTCGACCTCAAACCTTTACCCAAGGGCCTCAGGTATGCATTTCTGGGTGAAAACTCGACTTACCCTGTCATTGTGAACTCTGAGCTAAACCTGAACAATTGGAGTGCATTGCTTGTTGAGTTGAGAAAGTACAGAAGAATAGGTTACACTCTAGATGATATCAAGGGAATCTCCTCCTGAGTTATGCATTCATAGGATTCATTTAGAAGATTGAACCCAAATCTGAAGGAAGTAGTGAAGAAAGAGATACTCAAGTTGCTTGATGCTGGGATAATCTATCCCATCAGTGATAGCACTTGGATATCTCCAGTTCACTGCGTCCCAAAGAAAGGGGGATCACTGTCATAAAGAATGACAAAGAGGAGCTGATTCCCACTAGAACAATAGTGGGGCATCGCATGTGTATTGACTATAGGAAGTTAAATTCAGCATCTAGAAAGGATCATTTCCCTCTCCCTTTCATTGATCAGATGTTAGAAAGATTGGCAAACCATCCCTTTTATTGTTTTCTTGATGGTTACAGTGGTTTCTTCCAAATCCCGATCCATCCCAATGATCAGGAGAAGACCACTTTCACATGCCCTTATGGTACCTTTGCTTATCGAAGGATGCCATTTGGGCTGTGCAATGCCCCAGCTACTTTCCAGAGATGCATGACCTCCATTTTTTCAGATCTGATAGAGGAGATGGTAGAAGTCTTCATGGACGATTTCTCAGTCTATGGAGCATCCTTCTCCTCATGTTTGTCAAACTTGTGCAGGGTGTTGCAGAGGTGTGAGGAGACAAATCTAGTACTCAACTGGGAGAAGTGCCACTTCATGGTTCGAGAAGGGATTGTGCTTGGACACAAGATTTGAGAAAGGGATCGAGCTCGATCGAGCTAAGGTGGATGTCATGTTGCAGCTTCCTGTTCCCAAGACTGTGAAGGACATAAGGAGTTTTCTGGGTCACGCAGGGTTCTACAGAAGATTCATCAAGGATTTCTCAAGATAGCAAGACCCTTGACAAGGCTTCTATGCAAGGAAGATTTTGAGTTTGATGAAGAATGCCACAAGTCTTGGACCTTGCTGAAGGATGCTCTGGTTCTGCCCCAATAGTTCAAGCTCCAAACTGGGATTACCCATTTGAGATTATGTGTGATGCATCTGACTATGCAGTAGGGAGCTGCTTGGCCAAAAGATAGACAAGAACTCAATGTCATCTACTATGCAAGCAAGACTATGGATGATGCTCAATGCAAGTATGCAACCACAGAGAAGGAGCTCCTTGCTGTAGTCTTTGCCTTTGAGAAGTTTCGAAGCTATACTTGGTTGGATCAAGGTGATTGTGCACACTGATCATGCTGCCCTTAGGCACATCTTTGCTAAGAAAGATACAAAGCCAAGACTTCTCAGATGGATCCTTTTGCTTCAAGAGTTTGATATAGAAGTTGTGGACAAAAAGGGAGTAGAAAATGGAGTTGCTGATCATCTCTCTAGGATGCGAGTTGAAGACATAGTCCCCATCAATGATTCTATGCCTGAAGAACAGCTTATGGCAATCATGTTTTGAAAGAAGTTTTGATGAGAAGGTCAGGCTAGAAGAAGTCAAGGCTCTGCGTGAGATGAAAACCTACCTTGGTATGCTGATATAGTGAACTTCATGGTGGCTGGAGAGGTTCCCAATGCTTTGATGCTTACAAAAGGAAGAAGTTCTTCAAGATGCTAGGCACTACTATTGGGATGAGCCTTACTTGTACAAGAGAGGACCAAATAGCATTTACAGAAGATGCATAGCTGAAGAAGATGTACAAGGAGTTCTAGAATTGCCATGGGTCTGCTTATGGAGGTCACTTTGCCACATTCAAAACGCGACTAAGGTCTTGAAAGCTGGACTATGGTGGCCTACTTTGTTCAAGGATGCAGCAAGCTTCATTGCCAAGTGTGATCCATGCCAAAGGAAAGGAGGGATCACCAAGAGAGACGAGATGCCACTAAACCCAATTCTTGAGGTTGAGATTTTGATGTATGGGGAATAGACTTCATGGGACCTTTCAAACCGGCTTCAAATGGGAACAATTACATTTTGGTGCTGTGGACTATGTGTCCAAATGGATAGAAGCCATTCCTGCCCTGCTTGTGATGCCAAGGTTGTTATCAAACTGTTCAGAACCATTATCTTTCCCAAGATATGGCATCCCAAGAGTTGTGATCTTAGATGGAGGCTCCCATTTCATCAACAAGGTGTTTGAGAAGTTGATGAAAACTATGGAGTCAAGCACAAGGTAGCCACGCCCTATCACCCTCAAACCAGTGGGCAAGTTGAAGTCTCCAACAGACAGATTAAAGGCCATCCTTGAGAAGACTGAGCTTCACTAGGAAGGATTGGTCAACAAGGCTTGATGAAGCACTTTGGGCTTACAGGACAGCCTACAAAACCCAATGGAAGGTTCCTTTCAACCTATTGTATGGAAAAGCTGCCACTTACCTGTGGAGGTTGATACAAGGCACTATGGGCAGTAAAGATGCTGCAACTTTGATATAAAGGCAGCACAAGAGAAGAGGTAATGAACTTGTTTGAGTTGGAGGAAATCAGGAATGAATGCCTATGAGAACTCCAGGATCTACAAGGGAAATGACCAAGGCAGCCCATGACAAACTGATTCGCCTTAAAGACTTCAAGGCTGGGGATAGTGTGCTTTTGTTTAACTCCAAAATTGAGGTTGTTTCCCTGGGAAGCTAAGGTCAAAGTGGTCGGGACCATTCAAGCACGAAGTTCTACCTTATGGGATCTCTCACTCTACTCAACCAAGGAAGGAAAGGAATTCACAGTGAATGGCATAGATGCAAGTATAACCCCTGCTGAGGAGATCATAACTCCTCTTCAAGCTATAAAAGGTTAAGGTCAAGCTATGACCTAAAACAAGCTCACTTGGGAGGAATTCCCATGTCTATCTTGTACATATTGCTTTTTCTTTTATCTCTGTGATTCTTGGCTAAGTCTTGCAGGAACAGGTTTTAGGAGAGCACCATTGACTCGAGGCACAACTCGATCGAGCCAAGGAGCCGCAAGCTCGATCGAGCTGAGATGTCGAGTGGAGTGCTCCTGATGGCCGCTGCCCTCTCCACCACGACCTTGCCTCCCAGTTCTTTGGGGGGCACTGAGGTATCCAAACACCCCCTTGTATATACCATTTCATATTTTCTTGCATTTGTTCTTGTTTTTCTTGGTTTTGCCCTCTTGAATCTTTCACTAAATTTTTCACACAAGGGACTGTGTGATTTAAGTTTGGGGGAGGGTTCAAGAGATGATTTAACCTTGTTTTCTTTGTTCTTAGTTTTTCATTCATCTTTTGCATAGAAAAACCAAAAAAATCATAAAATTTTCAAAAAATCCAAAAATATTTTCATCTTTTTGCATTCATATTTGTTAGACTTGTTTAGGATTGCATTTCACTTGCATTGTTGATTTGACTTTGAAAACTTGTTCATCTTTTGCGATTTCTTGAGTGCCCTGTTTTTAGATTCTTTTGTGCATTAGGGTGAGATTGATTGAGCAGCAAGAACCATGTTTATCTTGATCATATCACTGCATGCACATCTCATTCAACCATTGCTGTGATTTGATGCATTTCCCTATCTATTTGAACCATAACTTGATCTTTAATTACCAATGCTTGCATTTGATTTCAACTCATGGCTACCACATACATATCTGGACATTCTTTACCTATTTTCATATCCCTCTTGCTTGTCCAGATAGCTGATCTCCATCTTTGAGACAGTTACCACACCTTAAACCTAAGCCTTTTTCATTTCAAACCCCATATTATCTCTTGTGCGAATGTGAGAACCTTTCTTGGCTTTGCTTAGCATAAGGTGTTGTGTTTAAACCGGCAGGGGCAGTAGTTCTAGTTGTCTAGTTCTCTTGGGATTGTTTTCAGGCTAAGTTTGGGGGTGCCAACTCGAGCTCGATCGAGTTGGGTGTAAAAACCAGAAAAGTGGTAAAAGTTGGGAAAACCAAAGGAAAAAGAGTTTAGTTAAGTCCAGGGAGTTGGCAGTGTTTAAAAAGGGTCTAGTAAAGGTTTGGGAAGTTAAAAAAAAGAAAAAAAGGGTTCTAAGTAGAATGAAAAGAAGGCAAAGCCTCAAGTGTCAAAAAGAAAGAAAAGTTCCCTAAGTGTTTAGAAAATCCCAAACCGCTAGATGTTACCTCAAGAAGCCTCTCCCTAGGAAGTTCTTAAAAGAAAAGTGAGCAAAGCTCCTCAGTTTCAAAGGCGAAATGCCAAAAAGGGTAGTTAGGATTTTGTTCTAAAAAGCTCTAAGTGTTGAACTCGATCGAGTTAGGATTAGGCGGCTCGAGCTGCTGTTCTTGCATCATCTTTGGTTCTAACACTTAGCCTTCTGCCAAAGCAAAGCCACTTTCTTGAGAGATCCCTGTTACTAAACCACCATACAAAAGAGACCCTCTTTGTCTCTTAACCCATAAACCCTTGAAACCAAATGAGTTGATTGATCTTGCATGTTTTTGGTTCACTGTTTTTGCTTAATGAATGTTAAAGGGATTTGCTGATTTGAATGCATTGTTTGAGTGACTGTGAAGTGGGATTGATGTTGATAAGCATGGTTAAATCTTAATGAATATCTCTCACCTTGTTGCATTCTAGAATCTCTAAGTTGGACATTTAGCAAATCGCTTTTGAGGACATGTTTTTAAGTGTTGAATCAACTTGTTTTCAAACCTCATCTCTTTCTTGTTCTATTTGTTTGCTTGAGGGCAAGCAAAGTTCAAGTTTGGGGGTGTTGATGTACTTGCATTTTACATAGTTTTAGTACATCTTTTATGCATCTTTTGCATAGTTTTAGCATCCATTAGCATCATATCTTGTTCCTTTTCTCTTCTTATGCATTCATGTAGTTTTAGGTTGCATTTGCATACATATGCATGTTTGGTCCTTTGAAATAGGTCTTTTGGAGCACTGGAGCATATGGGACGTGAGGAGCAAGGAAGGACTTGGTGCATGGACGCAGCTCAACTGGATGCGAAGAAGAAGGAAGCATCTTGAAGACCAGCTCGACCATCTACTCGACCAACCGGTCGAGTTCTCAACTCGACCGGCTGATATACCTCTATTTTACATGCTTTTTATATGGTTTTACTATGCTTTTCATAAGGTTTTTAATGGCTTTCTGATCTAAAAAGGTAGTTTTTATGTATTTATAGTACTTAGAGTCTAAACAGGTAAAAAGATGCATTTTGGAGCAAAACACAGGATTTGGACTTCAAGACCACTCCAAGACGTAGCATCAACTTAAGAAGGGCCTTAAAAACATTCTACTCAATGGACTTCATCAAATCCAGTTCACGAGATGCATAATGAGTTAGCTTTGCAACGCAACTGGAATCAATCAATTTGACCGAGTAGATTGGGAGATATCTCTATTTCCCTGAGACATATACGAGAGAGCTTATCGGACTGCATCAGTACATCAGACGAGCAGCAGCGGCTTGGACCCTTAAACTCAATGGATTTCCATGAAACTCGATACAAGATAGGAAGATGAGTTAGTGTTCTAATGCCGTTGGAAGTATGCAATTTGGATGCGCCGTTTAGGAGATATCACGTTTGTACTGAAGACTGGTTAACAGCCGGCCGAACGCACTCGGCCGGACAGGAAGGGAATTGGCTTCGCTCGGCCTTCTCCAGGACCGATCCGGCCGCACGACCGCACCGTCCGACCCGGGAGGCAATGGACCACGATCGACCGAGATCATCACATCACGGCCGACCCCGACGGCCGACCACATGCCTTGCACGGTCGACCCGATGTCCGCGAACAAGAAGCCCACTTATGCAGTTTTGACAATTCTCAGCCCAATTAACCTAAACCGACTTGTGAAGACCTAGGGCACTATAAATACTCTTTTTTAGCCTCTTTAGAGGAGAGAGCCGCATTAGTTTTAGAGAGTTTACATTGATTTCGTTTTAGAGCTTCATGGGAGAAGATCTCACCTTTGTAACACTATAGAGGAGATTTCTAAACCCTTTTACTTTCTATCAAGTTTTATTATGAATTCTTCTTCATCTCTATGCTTGATCTCTGTTACTATGTTTGAGTAATCTCCTTGTTGGGTTTAAGAGTTTTCAAAGGGTTTTCATGGATTGATTGTTAGGTTGCTAGATTAGGGTTTTATCATTAAAGTTCTTCATCTAAGTTTGTGTTTATTGCTTGTAGCTTGATTGACCGTCTAAGCTAATGTTCTTAGGTAGATTTACTTTCTGACCGCTTGATAAATCTCTTGAATCAACTTAGATGAGCAAGGCATAGTAACCTACGGAAGTAGAATTGCAAGGCTTTGTGAACTAGACCTACGGAAGTAGAGCTATCGAATTTGAACTGTTCTTACATGCTTAACCTCTTGATTACCTGCGGAAGTTGTGTGATTTAGGTTGTTAGACATAGTAATTGGCACTGCGGGAGTAGGTCAATTATACTTATTGATTCGAGTTCTAGAACAAACTATTGATTTCCCTATCTATTTGCTTGATCCAATCTATGAAACCTTGCGAATCCTCTAATGCCCAATGCTTTCTTCTATTGCTTTCACCTTATTTACTTTTTTTGCTTTGAAACCGTGACAACAACAAACCTCCATACTTGAGTCTTAGCTTGATTCGAATCTCATAAACTCATAGTGTAAACTTATCTGGTCCTTGTGTTCGATAACCCGTTACTACATCTGACATGTGCACTTGCAGAATCAGGGATAGGAATAGGTAAAACCTGATCCCGCATCACCGGCCAAGAACAACTCGATCGAGCTGCAGAGTCAATTGTCAAACCCAAAAAATGTTGCTTCCCTTTGACTCCTCCTTTGACCCTAAACTTAAATATTCTCCTATTTAAAGGCTTGTTGCCACGAAAAACCAACCTTTATTTTTACCTCTTTTTAGCTTTACTTTTGTTTTAGATTTTTAATTAATCTTGTAATTTACTTTTAGCCTCTCTATGTGTTATTGAGCTTTATTCTTCTTGAACCTTAGATCTAGGCTGTACCTTTGTGTATTTGCACTTGCTTATTTCAATAAAAGTTTTTTAGTTTCATCTCTTCTACCTTTTGATGTCTCTTTCATTGCATGTCATCATGTATTTCGCAATGTGTAATGAGTAGTTCTTCTTAGGGTTTAAGATGGGCTAGACTAGAGGATTTCTATGCTTAATCTCTCTTGCTTGATGTTCTTAATCTAAAATCTCTCTCTTTTGGACAAAACCTAATGCAACACAACCACTATCCATGGTGTGTTTGTTCATAAGTGATTTTCCTCATGGGAATGATGGGAAATCGCTTGAAAAGGTCCACTAAGAGCTCCAATATGCTTGTTCTCGAAATGGAGTTTATAGATGTTGATGTTGGATGGGTTAGTTTGAGCAATGATCCTACTGCCTCTAAGGCTTGATTCTCACTGGCTAACCCCTTGTTTCTGAGATCTTGCCTTAGATGATAGCTTTCACCTTGGGAAAGGGTTAGCTAGGCTTGAGAAGCTCAATACCAAGAGATAGCTTGAGTACAAGTTGTTTACAAGCGAAACCGATTAAGTATAGCCTTCCCCTAGTTGCAAGACTGTCTTAGACCCTATTCTTCGTCTTAGTAGCTTAAAGTTTGCACCTTTATCTCTTTTTATTGCATTTCCTCTCTTTTTACTTTAACTCGACCCTCACCTGGATCGAGCTCTAATGCTCTGTTCCAACTCGATCGAGCCTTAGGTCGAGCCGTTTGTTTCTTGATTATTTCATGCATTCTCATCTTGTTTAATATCCGCATTGTACTTTCATTTCATTAGGTTGTTAGATTCACCTATCTTTACATTAATCGCTTGACTTCCTTGTGTTTGCATGAATTTATAGAGTAGCAACAAACCCATTTGGATTGATAACCTCTTGTACTGCATCGACTATGATGGTTAAGAAGAATTGATTGATTCTGATTGCACAATTCCATCCCATTATTGTTCACCCCTGATTGCATTTTACCTCATATCATTTCCATCATTTCATTCACATCACTCTAAAATCCTATCATCAATTCTTAAGCTAAGACTTGGGGTACCAAATGATCATTTTCCTGTCGACACTCCTACCCCTAAGTGTCTCATTCAAATATCATATCGGATGACTTGATCAAAGAATTCAGTTATTGCTCGAATATTTAAAATTGTCCGAATATTATAGTACGATTTTGATTTGGAAAACACAATTTTATTACCACCACTGATTTTCCTAAGCTAAATCTAGAATATTAAAATAATAAAATCATATTGAATTCAAACAATGGCTGTATCAGATTTGTTTCATAGATATATGATATTGACATTTTATCAGTCTATATATATAATGCCGAACCGGTCAGTCACCTACATGCGGTACAGATTTAAGAAATCTGATGACATCTTATCTATATATGCGCATGAACATCTTGTACCAATTTTAGTGTATATGAAAATTAAATAAAGTTATGAAGACATCATCATATATTGAGATTCCATTTATTTAGTTTTTTTTTTGGGTTAATTTCTCAATAATCATATTGAGCATACAAATTAAGAATATAGCCATAATGAATTCATAATTTAGAGAATAACTATGTCCCACCTCTATTTTACACTTTACTCATTGTGTTTAATGCTAAATAACCATAATGTCATTCTTTCTTAAATCCTATTTCATTTTCTCTTTTCTATCTTATATATAATAGGAGAGTTGCTCTCTCCTTCTAGGCTATCCACATCAGCAACAAAATCATTAATTGTATTTAAGATATTTAATATATGTATATTAATATTTCTTTATATATATTCCTATTTTACACATAAACAAAACTAAGAAAAATACACAAACAATTTAATTGATTAATATAAAATATGTGATATCTTGATGTTAAAAGTTAAAATAAAGTTGTAATATAAAATGGAGATGAAATGAAGAAATATTTAACTTAAAATAGTATATAGTTAGGTTTTAACTCAAATGATTTATCCTATTTGAAAATGTTATAATATGCTTACAAGTAAAAAAGGTACAGTATAAATTATTTCATAGTAAAAAGCTAATAAAAAATTAGAGTTAGAGTTTGTTTTATTAAAAAATAGAAGTCGAGTTTTTATTTAAATTTCATTGCAACGAAAAGTATGAAAATTTTAAAAATGGTGACATGTTTGTTCCAAAAATACAATTTATATTTCCATATAATCAATTGTCATATGCTACCACAACAAAACATATATGTAAGAAGTTATACATGCATTTGTTTTTATCATATTTTGAGTGCAATTGCGATTCTACATCATGTTTACAAATTTTAACATTGAGTCAAATGCATATTAAGTTTTAGAAATAGAGATGAAGTAAGGTGTTAATATCTTAATAAAAAAATTGATCATATTGTTAGTGTTAATTGTTGGGTTAACTCAAAATATAACCAAAACATAGAAGTTAACATATAACCATCATAATTCAAAATTTCAAATCAATGAATATAAATAAAATCAAACAGAAAAATTATCGCAAACAACCCCGCGCTTGCGCGGGGCTTTAGTCCCTAGTTGCACTAATCTCATATTAGCTATTGATTAATATTCTTAGCCACTGAAAAAAAAAAACAGATTAATTCATAATTTTATACAACAAAACCAGATTTTTCTGCATGTAAAATGTTTTGTTTTTCTAAAACGAATTAAATTTTTGTAACTTAATGTTTAATTTGGGCTAATGAACAAATGTTGGATACTATACTATATTTTGCAATACCTTATACTATACTATTTACTAAACAAAATACTACAAAACAAAAGGAAAAAACACGCTAAACCAAAAATCTAAATCCTAAATCTAATAAACTAACCCAAAATCTAAATATATAACCTTAACCCCAAAATATAAACCCAAGATCTAAAACACAAATCCAAAATCTAAACCCCAAATTCAAAAATTTAAACCCTAAACTAAAAAAACTAAACCCTAAACCCAAAATCTAAACCTAAAAAGCTAAACCCAAAACCCAAATATATAACCCTAATTCCAAAATTTAAAACTCTAAACCAAAGAAAAACTACACTAATTCAGAAAAAGAATCATAATCCTAAAATTAATACCCTATATCCAAACCCCATAATAAAAAGAGAAAATAGTTTAAACCACATATTTTTTCTTTGATTTAACTAAGGGTTAATTTAGGTAGTATTATAGAAAATATTGATTGTATTCTAACCAAGGCAACCATATGGCTATCAACTTAATTATGATACCCAATATGATTATTGAGTGCAATTTCCCTTTTTTTTGACATGATTCCATTTATTTAGCTATAAACAAACTAAATGTTTTTAAATTGTACAATACTAGTAGCCTGCCCGCTCAGTTGCAGCGCAGAAAATTATATATATATATATATTTTTTAAATTAGTTTAGTTTTCTTTTGGTATTAACCCGATCACTTAACAGAAAGGTGAGTTGGTTTAATAATACTAAAATTTTCATAATTTGAAAACTAACCCTAGTTTTAAAAGTTTTGAAAAATAACTTTTTTATACGTGAAAAGACAATAAAACCATTATCATTTTCTAATATTAATAATGAGAAGAAAAAAAATTTCTTATTTAATTAAGATATAAAAAAGATATTCAAAGATATATATTAAATTATGGAGATATATCAGAATCCTTTGGTATATGAGATATTTTCGAAAAATAATTTAGATTTTTTATTAAATATTTAAAGTTGGATATACAAATGTTATTTTCAAAATATCATATTTATCATAAATTTGAATAAAACTCTATAAATAAATACACATAAATATAATTTAGGGACCCTATCATTAACTATCCTTACCTACGTTGAATACTCTTTCTTTCTTACGTTCAATACTCTTTTTTTCGAAGTACGTATGTACCTTTGCTACAATCTATCTTTGTTAAATTATGCTAATGTTTTTTTTGTTAACTTTGATTATATATTATTTGTAACATACAGGAAATTGAATATGGTGACTAATGATTATTTGGATGTGTGTATTATGGAACTTAACAACATAATACATACTTCTTTAAGAAGCTTAGTTATTCCATATGTGATATTCAATATTCCAAACTGGAAATTCTGACGAAAGAGGTTAGATCTCTATAAGCAGGTGGCAAAAATCAGAATCCTTTAGTATATACAAACTTCTTTAACAATTTTTCTTTTACTAGCTATATTCATCCAAAAAAACTATGTACTATTTTTGTTATAATTTACATGAATATATTTTTTTGTATGCAAGAGCATGCTGATCACTTTACTCTCTTGAAATCTATAGAAGAAAAATCAATGAACAAAAATCTCAAGCATGTCTTTGATTTTGCAAAGATGACTAGGGATAATGAAAAAAAAGATAAAATTTGTGTCTAAAGATTTGTCGGTTGATATTGTGGATAAAACACCATCGACAGAAAAAAAGAAAAAAATAGGAAAAGAAAGCTTGCAAAGATAGAAGGGTGTCTCAAGGATTATGGCAGAGGTGGAAATCCTTTGAAAAAGATGACGGGAACTTGCACTGCGTACGGTCCTTTTGATATGGTAGATCAGACAAAAGTTGATTGGTTGGATTCATGGATGAAAATTCAAAGATTATTACTAATCATTTATGTGTTTATATACTTTTTTGGTTATGTTCATTGTTTTGACATTGAAGCTTTAATTGTTGCAGAGATACACTTGTTGATTTAGGTACCAGTGATGGAGATACGAATAAATTTTCTTTTTCAGAACTCATGAGTCATGACACCAAAAACGTTGCTGGACGATAGAGTAACATATTTTATTATTTGTTATACCATACAAATATTTTTTATCTTACTAACTCTTAGATATATTTTGTCACAGCACACTAATGCTGGTATGTCTTTATTAAGAAGACGATTGTCAAATGTCCCATGTCCATTTGCTAGTGAGAGGTTGGCATTCATGGATGTACCTTTCACTATTTTAATGAGCAACATCTATCGAAACTTCTCAGAAGATCCAAAACATTTTGTTTGGAGTAGTGCCTTGATCGATTATTTCAACGGTGTTTTACCACAATGCGGAAAGACAGAGAAGAGATTTGGAGTAGATGTGGATAATGTTTATGTTGTTTAAACATAAGAAACAATCACTGGATTGCTCTCGATATCTGGATATCTCGATTCCTCGTCGGGATATTGATGTGTATGATAGCAGTGTGCATCCTGAAGAGGCAAACACATGAGTATGTGAAGCCGTATGCAAGGCTATTTCCGCATTTTATCAAATCGCTGTCTTTTCCAGTTGATAAAGGTGAAAGTATTGCTCAATACACGATTAAGATGCAAAACAGAATTCCACGAAACATGCAATCAAGTACTGTGGTATATATGCTTTAAAGTATATTGAGTGTCTTGTACTAAACTGTGACATGCAAGTTGGCTTGTGTGACAAAAATATGGGGAGCATACGGAAGAAAATGGCTGCGGAAATATTTGCAGGAGCGGACCATTGTGCTGGACTTTATTGTTTTTAATGTGTTTGGTTTTCTAAGGATTTAAACGTTTCAGTTCTCTCTCTTCTCTCTCCAAAACCTTTTAGAGAGAGAGAGTAGTATCAAAAATATCTTTTGGGTGCAACTGGATGTCTCTTTTGTGGGATAAAACTTTGTGGAATGTCGCATTCCGTAGATTCCAAAAAAAATCTACCATTTAAGTGGAATAATAAAAAAAAAAAATTATCTCTGTAATTCCAGTGGGATAAAAAGGAACAATGAGGGATATAGTTAAAAATCATTCATGATAAAAAAAGGCTTATGAATGAACGGAATGGAACACATGAATGGAAAAATTATATTTATTTTTCATTCCACTCAATTCCTTTAAATTGTTACCATTTATTATCACATTTATATTTCTCTGCATTTGTTCATTCCATTTATTTATTTATGTAACTGCCATCATCCCATTCATTAGAATCCCATTTTTCTTAATTCATCTTATTCAGAGTATTCCTAAAATTGAATTCCAGTTAGACCCTTTGTCTTGCGATGTTAGTCGGATTGTTGTATTCCATTTTAATCGGATTTCTCTTTCGGTGTCAACCGATCTCTTTTCTTAGGCTGCAATAATTTCCGTTTACGGATTAGTTTCTACAGTAAAACCTCTATAAAACAATAATGTTGGGATTTGAAATTTTATTATCTTATAGAGTTATTATTTTATCGATAAGACAATAATTATTGTTTTATCAATTATTGTCTTATAGAAATATTTTATCAAAAACAGAAACTTTATACGGACAATTAATGTTCATCAAGATACAACAGCAAATTGTTTTCGACATTGTAAAATTCGTTCAGGAGATGTCCTACTAAGGAATTTAGAAGATGAATCAGTCGACATTCCTGAATTTGAAGTTGTGATTAATAATCTTGGTTATCAGAATAGAATGGATGTTAATAGCCTACTCAACTATCCGGGTGAGAACGATTCATACTCAGAAGTTCAAAGTCTAGAAGAAATTGTGTCTACTGTTCTTAATGGTGAAGATGAAGTTGAAGATGATGAGGAAAGACATGTGCAAGTAGTTACACGTAAGGAAGCAATTGTGGCTTCGAGAACTCTTCACAACTTTTGGCTGCATGTTGAGAACACACCACCAGAAATTGTTGATGCAATAAGAAAAATTTGAGATGAGCTCCAACGAGAATCCAACTTTCAGAAAAGACAAACTACATTGGAGTCATATTTTACTAAATTGCCTTAGATATATATGTTTTAGTTTTATAATTATTGTCTTAAGCCTATTGTTGGGACTATATTTTTACATAAGAGTTTCAAAAATATTATTGTCTTATCATCTTATCGCATTATGCTATTTTTTACATTGGCCCGAGTTGGGACTGGAGAAATTTATTATCTTATAGTGTTTATTGTTTTATCGAGTATTGTTTTATAGAGGTTCTACTGTAGTTTTCCTTCTGCATGTTCTTAAGCTTCTCTCATGGAAGGTGAAGCCAAAATCCGAAGGTGTTTTGAATGGATTCCGTTTCATTGGTGCATGCTTAATTGTTCTTTCAAAGGAGAGTAATTTCTTCACAAGTCCGATGTTGGACCATGTTGTGAAGTTTCTCTTTATGATTGAAGAATTAATATTTGGGGATCAGTTCGTTAGATTTAGATAAGGATAAGCAGAGTTGGCGTTTTCTCAGCAGTCGGAAAACGGTCCGACGAATGTCCTGATTTTCCGATTTAATTGAAGATCTCGGGTTTTTTACTCTGATGTATTTGTGAAGATCCATCAAGCTTCCTTCGATGACTAGTGCAGGCGGAAAAAGCAGAGATACACAAAACAAGCTTCGCGATGGTGGTGATCGGAAAGCTTCGCTGGTGGATGTACTGAGGAACTGGACAACGGCGGTGACTGCTTCGTGTGTGATGCCACGTTTCTGAAGCGTGTTTCTTTAGCCTACACGTGTTAACGACGTGTCTAGCTTATAAAGCAGACTATTTAGATGTTGTTATATGTTTGGGCTATTGTTGGCCTCATCTGAATTTTGTGTATCACTGTTTTGCCCATTGGGCTTTATAATGAAATGGTTGGCAAAAAAAAAAAAAAAAAAAAAAACGTTTCAGTTAGTTTAGTTTGGGTTTTTTTGGATTTGTTATGGGCTTTCGAAAGTACGTTTTGCTTTGTTTTGAATTTGATTTCTAATATTTTTATATTTTTTCTTTGATAAGTTATGTGGATATTATGTCATTTGGTTTCTCTTATTAAAAGACTAAACAAGAAAAAGATAAGAAATACGAAAACCCTATTCACATTCATCCTCTCTTAATACATTTTCGTTTCAATTTTTATCATCCATAACCTCTTTTTTCATTTTTCTATCTACACCACTGTCATTTATTATCTCCTTATTTTTCTGTTGGAAAGCTTAATTGAGTTTTTTTGTCTGCATCCATTACTTTTATTTACTTTTCCTCTCCTTCTTCTACTATTCTTTGGGTGAATCGAATATGTGGTTTGGTGACTTCATTACGATTACAATATAAATTTGTGAGTTCAGCGGATCTGGAGAGATATGCTTCTCGCCGGAATCGTATCGAAGAAAAAGCGTTAACTTGGTTGATGAGTCGGTGAGTCAATATCAGGGAAGATGACACGTGTCTGTCAGCTTTACACTCATGCTTTACATTTCCACGATCCTAAGTTCGGAGTTATTCAATTAGGCTTTATGTACATTTTTCTTTTTAATTTAAGCCCAACTTAAATATGGGCATACACATACTTCACTTCGACTTTTGTATTGTTTTTACTTAGAGGAAGTGCAACGGAGACCTCTCCTCATTTTCTCTCCTCCTTCTCTCTAATCCAGATCTAGGATTTCTGGCCGCGGTTCGTCGGCTCCGATGGCTTAGATAGCATTGGAGCCCCTCTCTTCCTTTTCTAGTTTGTTTATTGTTGTCTAGGTTCCTTCCTCTTTCTCCTCTCTGTTTCCCAGCTTCTTTGAAGTGCTCCTTTTCGTTTGGCCTTCCAGATCTATCGATCTAGATCCGCGATTTGTTTGCCTTCCTTTTGGCATAGATCCTGCTATTCCGAGACTGGATCTCTCTTGTTTAGTCCATCAGTTGTTGTTTAGTCGTTTCAGAGTGGTTGAATCTTTCTAAATCTCATTTGGTTTTAGCTTCGGTTTCTCTGGTCTTTGTCTCAGTTTCGGTTACAGCAGTGATGCAGTGGCGACGTGTGGTGAAGGGTTTGGTTTCTGGTCATCTCTCCTTGTGTGGAAGGAGCTTCTCTTGCGTCTTTGAAGTTGGTGTCTCTTCTTTTCCTGTCGGAAGAAGGGCGTTTGATTTGGGGTTTAGCTCAGGTGTCTTTGCTCTTCTCAGTTTGTGTTTCGGTCCGTGCGGATCCGAGGTTGCTAGGTTTGTCTGTGGGTCTGGTTCTGGCTCTGTCTTGGAGAGTTCAGGTAAGTTACAGTGGCTCATTGGTCGGTTCACCCGTCGATTGCTCCGGCTTTTTTTAAAGATCTGTGAAGCTTTTGCTCTTTTCTTTTGAAGTTTAGTTTTTGATTTAGTTTGAGGAATTTAGTGTTGTTGATTTGTGTTTTCCCTTTGTTTGGGCTTTTGCTTCCCTTGTGTGGGCTTTATTTCTCTTTCTATGGGTTTTTTTCCGGGGAATTAATCTGTTTTTCTCCGGCTTTTGTATTGTTGTAACTTGTTCTTCTGTTTCAGATGATATAAAAAAAAAAGAAGTGCAACGGAGACCTGAGGAACAAGCTCTATAATAATATTAATAAATAGATTTTTGTGACAAAAAAAAAGGAAAAAGACAAAATGAATTCAACTAGTTATATAATACCATGTGTAGAGTTTACCAATACAACATTTGCACACATCAACGATGATTCAATCCAGGCCTATACATAACCACCATATTAAATTAAGTAGGAATGAGAGAAGTTTAAAATCATTAAGCCAAATACCAAATTCAAGGAAAGAATAAAAGAAGTACAAAATCTTAAAACCAACAAAAAAACCCAAAAAAACAGAAAAATACCAAAGTAACAACCAAGATCCAAATTAAACGATAAGTAAAGAAGGAAAGCAAACTAAACCGATAGAACTTTATCAAATTGCGAAATCACAGGTGGCACGATTATGCCCTGAACCAAGACATCTTGAACAAGCATGATGTTTTCTTGGTCTTTTCACTATCGTTTCTTCAATTCCTTGGTATCTCCTCTTTTCGTACTTCCTGGACTCCTACATGTGTATCCGGAGGCAAACATATCTGACCAATGTTATCAGCGCTCAACTCAGGCAGCTCTTCAGCAGGTTTTATGCTCTCTGAGTAAGCCGAAAACCAGTACGGCTTTGTGTAGTAAGGATCAGCAAGCAACTGTGGATCCACTCCTGTTTTCTTTGCAACAGCAATGGCATGTTGACATGGTATCTTGTCAACATCAAACACACGACAAGTACATGTCTTATGCAGAAAATCAACCACATAATTACTTGATCCTGCCAACACTTGGAACTCATGAAGATTGATAGCTTGCACATCAAACATACCTGACACACGGCAACGTTTACCAAGTGTCTTCTCAACTACTGGCGTAACCAAATTAGTATGATTTTCTGCAATTTTTCGCCACTCACAAAACCACCGTGTAAGTCTTTCTCATATCACCTCAATCATTGGCACAATGGGGTACCCTCGAGCTTCTCTAAACACGGCATTGAGCGATTCAGCTATGTTACTTGTAGTAAGTTGTAACGATTTCCACGAAAGTAAGCACGAGACCACAACTCTAAACCAGCTTCCTCCATGTACGAGCTGAGATTAGGTTCTTCAAAATGAATCTCAGGAAATAGATCATTGAATTCTGTTACCTGATAGGCCTTTGCTGCTTTCTTAACCAGTGATGTACTTGCATTTTGCATAGTTTTAGTACATCTTTTATGCATCTTTCGCATAGTACAAGAATCCATTAGCATCATATCTTGTTCCTTTTCCCTTCTTATGCATTCATAGTAGTTTTACGTTCATTTGCATACATGTGCATGTTTGATCCTTGAATAGGTCTTTTTAGAGCACTTTGGAGCAATTGGGACGTGAGGAGCAAGGAAAGACTTGGTGCATCGATTCAGCTCAACCGCACACGCTTAGGATGAAGAAGGAAGTCGTCTTGAAGTCAGCTCGACCCATCTACTCGACCAACAGGTCGAGTTCCTCAACTCGACCGGTGATGTACTTGCATTTTACATAGTTTTAGTACTTCTTTTATCCATCTTTTGCATAGTTTTAGCATCCATTAGCATCATATCTTGTTCCTTTTCTCTTCTTTTGCATACATAGTAGTTTTAGGCTTGCATTTGCATACATATGCACGTTTGATGTCTTAATCAGGTCATTTGGAGCTAATTGGAACATTGCCTATCACTGGAGACTAGTTGAGGAAGGAAAGACTCTGTCTGCCCCATGTACGGACCCGCACTCGGTCGAGCTAGTGAGATGCGTCCGAAGTATCGTATCAAATGAAGGGTTTACACTCCGATTCAGCCTCTGACTTCTTCTTGGAAGTTGTGGATAATTGAGTTAGCTTTCGTCTGGAGGTGGTTTCATGTCATTCGGACCAGCGGTTCAGAAGATACGACGATTTTGGTTGGACTCGACCCACCAGCTCGACCGGCCAGTTTCCAACTCGATCGAGCTGCTTTTCCAGGAGTCAAAGTCAAACCCGAAAAATGTTGCTTCCCTTTGACTCCCCTTTGACCCTAAACCTAGTTTGCTTTACTATAAATGGCATTGAGCCACGAATTAAACACAGCTTTTGCTCAACTTTTAATTAATCTTGTATTTGCATTTCCCTTTTTACTTTTTAGCCTCTCTTTGTGTTCTTGAGCTCTTGCTCATAGAACCCTAGATCTAGGCCTTGTTATTGTGTTTTTGCACTTGCTTATTTCAATAAAAGTTGTTTATCTTTATCTCCTCTATCTTTTGATGTCTCTTTCATTGCATTTGGTTGTTTATTTCATCATGTGTAGTGAGTAGTTCCCTTTAGGGTTTAAGATGGGATAGGTTAGAGGTTGTTTATGCTTAATCCTTCTTGCTTATGTTCTTAATCTAGAAATCTCTCTCTTTTGGACAAACCTTAAGGCTACATGACCACTACCCCTGGCTTGTATGTCCATAGGCGATTCTCCACATGGAAGTGATGGAAATCGTTGGAAAAGGTCCACTAAGAGCTCCAATAACTCTTGCTCTCGAAATGGAGTTCATAGGGGTTGGATGGATTAGTTTGAGCAATGATCCTATGGCCTCCAAGGCTTGATTCTCACTGGCTAACCCCCTGTTTCTGAGATCAAGTCTTGGTTGATAGCTTTCACCTTGGGAAAGGGTTAGCTAGGCATTGAGAAGCTCAATATCAAGAGATAGCTTGATACAAGTTGTTTAAGAGCAAGACTGATTAAGTATAGCCTCCCTTTAGCTGCAAAACCCTGTCTTTAACCCTAATCTTCGCATTAGCATCTTAAAGTTTGCACCTTTATCGCTTTTCATTGCATTTCCTCTGTTTTTACACCAACTCGACCCTCAACTCGATCGAGCTCATCAACTCGATCGAGCTCTTGGTCGAGCTGCTTTTATTTACTGCTTTTGCTTGCATTTCATTTCATATTAGGTTGTTTAGTTGTTACATCCCTCCTTTTAATCATTTGGCTTGACTTTCTTGTGTTTGCATATTCTCATAGAGCAACATCTCACCCTTATGGATTGATAACCTTTATACTACAATGACTATGATGGTTAAGAGGAATTGATTGATTGTGATTGCACCATACCATCTCATCTTCATTTACCACTGTTGCATTCCACCTCATTTACATTTCATATCACCTCATATCACTTCACATCCCCTTAAAATCCTATCATTAACCGGCCAAGTTCCAACTCGATCGAGCTGCGGAGTCAATGGTCAAACCCGAAAAATGTTGCTTCCCTTTGACTCCCCTTTGACCCTAAACCTAATCCTTCTTGTATTTAAAGGCTTGTAGCCACGAAAAAGACAACAATCTTTAGCTTATTTTCGTTTTGCTTTTCTTTAATTTTGTATTTTACTTTTTGCAAAACCTAAGCCTCTCTTTGTGTTCTTGAGCTCTTGCTCTTGAACCTTAGATCTAGGCCTTATCTTTCTGTATTTGCACTTGCTTATTTCAATAAAAGTTCTTTAGTTTCATTCCCTCTTTCATATTAATGTCTCTTTCATTGCATTTGATTGTGTATTTCATCATGTGTAGTGAGTAGTTCTTCTAGGGTAAGATGGGCTAGACTAGAGGATCCTTATGCTTAATCTCTTTTGCTTATGTTCTTAATCTAGAAATCTCTCTCTTTTGGACAACCTTAAGGCTACATGACCACTACCCTGGCATGTATGAGTCTAGGCGATTTTCCTCATGGAATGTTGGGAAATCGCTTGAAAAGGTCCACTAAGAGCTCCAATATGCTTGCTCTCGAAATGGAGTTTATAGGTGTTGGATGGGTTAGTTTGAGCAATGATCCTACTGCCTCTAAGGCTTGATTCTCACTGGCTAACCCCCTGTTTCTGAGATCTTGCCTTAGATGATAGCTTTCACCTTGGGAAAGGGTTAGCTAGGCTTGAGAAGCTCAATACCAAGAGATACCTTGAGTACAAGTGGTTAATGAGCAAGATTGATTAAGTATAGTCTTCCCCTAGTCGCAAGACCCTGTCTTAGACCCTAATTCGCATTATCTATTAAAGTTCGTATCTTTATCGCTTTTCCTCTGTTTTTACGCTAACTCGACCCTCAACTCGATCGAGCTCAGTTACTCTGTTCCACTCGATCGAGCCTTGGTCGAGCTGCTTTCTTTTACTTTTCTGCATTGCATTTCATTTCATTAGGTTGTTAGAGTTACTTCCATCATCTTTACTGTCTGCTTGACTTCCTTGTGTTTGCATATTCATAGAGTAGCAACAAACCCTTATGGATTGATAACCTCTTATACTACATCGACTATGATGGTTAAGAGGAATTGATTGATTGTGATTGCACCATACCATCTCATCTTTATTCACCACTGTTTGCATTCCACCTCATATCATTACATCATTTCATATCACCCATACACAAATCCTATCATCAACCAGTCGAACCAAATACTTTCCTCTAAACTTTTTGATGATGTTCTTTTGCAGGTGATAGATGCAAATTCCACATAGAGCAGATGGATACACTTTCTTGACAACTTTAGCAATATATGCGTGCCTGTCAGAAATCACCACCAATCTAGGATCATCCGGCACCACAGTTTTCAATTGCGTGAAAAACCATTCCCACGATGCGTCGTTTTCAGAATCCACAACTCCAAACGCCAGAGGAAAAATCTGAGAATTACCATCTTGAGCAGTTGCTACTAACAAGGTTCCCTTATACTTCCCTTTTAAGAAGGTTCCATCTACCACAATAACTTTCCTCAAGTTATCAAATCCCTTAATGGATGCACCAAACGAAAGGAATAAATATTTAAACCTGTTTTCAGCATCAACCTCAAGACACGCCATTGCACGTCATCGAGCACATCATTGATGCCAAACTCATCAACGATAAGATGCACCAATTCGTCAAACTTCATCCCATCTCTCACTTGAAACAACTTGCCTCCTTTCTTGTGATTCATCACAAAACTACATGATTCCCTTTGCAACACCTAATCTCCATAAACTCCAAAAATCTGCACCATTTTAGAACAAAGAAAAACTCATGCTTCACTCTTAAAAAAATGATGGAATGTGTTAAAGTTATCTATATTTATGAGATTTTAAATTTCAAATAAGATCTTGTAAATATCTTTTTTGTTTTCTTGTTATAGATTTTACTCAGATTTTATGGGAATATCTCACGGTGCAGTTTTTTCTGCTCTTTTTTGTTATATAAAATCTTATATATAATAGGAGAGTTGCTCTCTCCATTTAGGCTATCCACATCAGCAAAAAAGTTCATTAAATTGCTTTTAAGATATTTAATACATGACTTCATATTTCTTTACCTATATTTTTATTTTAAAATATAAATAAAACTAAGAGAAATACACAACTAAATTACTTAATTAATATAAAGTATGTGATAACTTGATGTTAAAAGTTATCAAAAAGTTTGATATAAGTAAAAATATATTTAACTTGAAATGGTATATATTTACCTTTTTATTAAAAGGATTTATCCTACTTCAAAATGTTATAATGTGTTCACAAGTTAAAAAGTTGAATATAAATTAATTAAGATAATAAAAAACCAATGAGAAATTAGAGTTAGAGTTTGCTTTCTTAAACAAAGTTTTTATATGTAAATTTAATTGCAGCAGTGAAAAACATGAAAATTTTAAGGATTGAGATATGTTTGTTTCCAAATATATTCAATTACAAACTAACATAATAGAAAATAATCAATGGTCATGAGGCTCATATGCTACCACAACAAAGTAGATATGTAATAAAAGTATATATATATATTTTTTTCATCTTATTTCGGTGCAAATGCGATTTTACATTATACTTACAAATTTTAACGTATAACTTGATGTTAAAAATTATCAAAAAGTTTGGATATAAGTAAAAATATATTTAACTTGAAATGGTATATATTTACCTTTTTATTAAAAGGATTTATCCTACTTCAAAATGTTATAATGTGTTCACAAGTTAAAAAGTTGAATATAAATTAATTAAGATAATAAAAAACCAATGAGAAATTAGAGTTAGAGTTTGCTTTCTTAAACAAATAGAAGTCGAGTTTTTATATGTAAATTTAATTGCAGTGAAAAACATGAAAATTTTAAGGATTGTGATATGTTTGTTTCAAATATATTCAATTACAAAACTAACATAATAGAAAATAATCAATGGTCATGAGGCTCATATGCTACCACAACAAAGTAGATATGTATAAAAGTATATATATTATTTTTTTCATCCTATTTCGGTGCAAATGCGATTTTACATTATACTTACAAATTTTAACGTTGAGTCAAATGCATATGCATGTTTATAGTCTAACAGAAGTAAACAAACATAATATTTATAACATGCTAAAATGTTAGAAATAGAAAATTCGAGATAAAATGGGGTGTTAACATCCTAATAAAATAAAATAAAAGACACGCGATGTGAAAGATAAAGTATAAATAAAACTAAAAAGAAAACTATTAGGGATTCTTTCACTTCTAATCCACAATTTGTGGTCAATAGCAAATAACCCCGCGCTTGCGCGGGACTTCAAACCTAGTAAAAATAATTGTTTAGAATTATCTTTGGCATAACAGTGTTTTTTTCTTACAATTTAAATAATTTTTAAATAAGATGAACAAATTTTAAAACAATTTTAACAAGGTGGTTGGCCCGCGCCATGCGCTGGCATGAGTTTTTTTGAAAAACAAAAACATTTATAAGCTAAAAACAATATTTTTCATATTCTAAACATTAAGGGTTTAGCATGTAGGGTTTTCATATGATATTTTAAAAATATGCAATGCTTATATTTAATCGATATGATTTAAACAAAAGATTAAATAATTTAGTTATTTTCTATTTCCCTTTTCATTATAATTTTCAAGAACTAAGAATTTCCTTTTTCATTAGAATATTTCAAGAACTAAGGATTTAAAAAAACGCAAAAAAAAAAACTAAACCCTACACCCAACAATATGAACCATACATCTAAACCTTAACCCTACAATAAACACCACCCCTTCCCCCATCCATACAGTACATCATAACCACATAATAAAAACCTCTTTTCAATTTTCATTAAATTTTTTTTTGCTTAATTTGGTGTAATTGTTGCTCTTGTACAAAATTTCATATGATTTTTTAAGAATATGAGATGTTATTATTTAAATGATATGATTTGAACAAAAGATTAAACTATTAAGTTGTTTTCCTGTTTTCCTATTTCCCTTTTCATCAGAATTTTCAAGAATTAAGGATTTCTTTTTTAACTAAAATTTTCAAGAACTAAGTATTTTAAAAACGCACAAAAAACTAAATCCTACACCCACCAATATAAACCCTAACCCTACAATAAACACCCCTACATCCATACAGTACACCATAACCACATAATAGATAACTCTTTTTATTTTGAACTAAATATTTTTCCCTTATTTGGTGTTGTTGTTGTTGTACAAAATTCACTTGATATTTTATGAATACGCTGAATGATTTGAATAAAAGATTAAACAATTAAGTTGTTTTGCTATTTCATTTTTTTATTAGAATTTCCGAGAAATGTTTTTTGGCTTAATTTAGTATTCTCTCCACTTGTTTAATGAAGTTTTAAAATATTTTTTTGGTTTAATCTTCATCGTTAATAATAAAATATTCTTATTTTTGTTCTCATACGCAATCTTCATA